TACAAATATTCTAAATTCGTTCTAAATTTTATATTGAATACTAGGAGTGATATTACTGTGAATTTAACTGGAATTAGGACAGAAACTAATTTTTTTTCCTTTTTTGAGTATTTAATTTAATTTATGCAATAATAACCACTAAATGCCGGAATTAATTAAAATTTACTTCTACTTCATAAAAATTAACTTTGTTTTGATAAATAACTACCTTGGGGCTAGTAAAAAACTATATAATTAATTTGAATGGATTTAATGTCAACAACTATTTTATTCAAATTTAAGACGAAAATGCGAAATAGTTGAATAATTTTCTGGAAATTTTAGAAGCACAGATAAAAAAAACTAAGTACAGATTCAGATTCTACTCATTGAAAGGATGAAAATACATATAAAGAACTCACAATTTGGAGCTAAAATGAGAAAGATATGAAAGATTGAAGTTGAAGGTGCAACAATGGTGGAAATCCGAGCTTTGAGGAGGAAGAAGACGCCCTTTTTGATCTGATTTGGGCTTGAAATTGGTGTGTTTGAGATGGGGAAAAAGCCTGCTATTTATAGCAGAAATTTCACCGAAGGCGCCCAAGACGGCGGCCGCCTTCCGTCGGAATCTGGCCGCCTTCCGTAGGCGGCCAACCAGGCGGCCGCCTTTGGTCTCATTTTGGCCGCCTTCCGTCCCATCGCCGACAGCGGATCGTGGCCGGTCTCGTCAGCCGTAGGCGGCCACAGAGGGCGGCCGCCTTCCGTCACAAATGGCCGCCTGCCGTCTTTTCGTTGGCAGATCGGATCCCGGCGGATCCCGGCGGATCCCGGCCGCCGCAGGCGGTCCAACAGGCGGCCGCCTGCCGTCCTGTCTGGCCGCCTGCCGTCCTGTCTGGCCGACCGGTGGTTGGTTTTGTCCCCTTGTGCCGCAGGCGGCCACCGTAGGCGGCCGCCTTCTGCCCAGTGTCGGCAGCCTTCGGTCTTTTTCTGGTCTCGAGTCAAAGCGAGGTTGACTTCTGATTTTTCCCGTAGGCGGCCGCGAAGGCCTCCATTTTGGGCGCCTATTTGGGCGCCTTCTGCCACTTTTGTCTGGCAGATGCGGCTTTTCCTGCTCTTCATTTTTGTCTTCTGAATCACCTTGATAAAATGCTTGCTTTTTCCGGTATAAATGTATTTGTCACTCAAATTGACTCATTTTGTGCTCAATTGACCCGAAATCCCGCTAAACATATTATGGATGTGATTTTTACCTGATTTCATGAAACTTGAACCAAAATATATAAAATGTGTCTTTTCTTTCTATTTTCATTCAAAAATCGCTTAAATTTGATAAGAAAAATAAGTACAAAAATGGACTTATCAATCTCCTCACACTTAAGCGTTGCTTGTCCTCAAGCGACGAATTAGTTGTAAACACACTCAAAAAGGTAAAGCCTAACTGTATTACAATCTAATTGCTATTTTAAAGAAGTAGAAACAAAAACCTCTTCTTTTATTCTCAATTTTTAAACATTTTAGAAAAATCACCCAAAATACAAGAATTTAAAATTAGTATTACTTAAGAAAAACTATTTATTATGTTAAACCACCAATCAATTCCTTATCCCAAGGTTTTCATTATTCTAATTTGGACATTCATCATGTTCACCATTTTTTTTTTTTTTTTTTTTGCTCTTTTTCACTCTTGTTGACGGTGTTATCCCATGGTAAATGCATATTTCATTCTCACAGACTGTGATTAACGAATGAAACAGAGCCCCTTTTCGAAGATGGAATTGTCCTATAACAATGAGTTTTGAAGAGGTTTATTAATAGTAATATATATATATATATATATATATATATATATATATTTTGATGAATAAAATGAATGTCCAATTAAAACAAATTCGGACCTTTACATTCGCAACCAAAAACCCATAACAATTTTAACTTTTCAAAAATAATAATAAAAGTAAATTCATATAATAAGGGTGATTATCTAAACTATTTATGCGATTGATAACAAATTGAGAAATTAATGTTTCATGTCAAAAATAGTAAAAAGATAGTTCTAAAATAAGTTTTTAACTTTTGAGTGTAAAACACAACCTCCTCACACTTGAGCTAGACCTCGCCCTCGAGGTCTTCTTTTAAGGTACAAAACCTTGAAATAAAGACACATTTTTTTTTTGTTCTTTCCTCACACTTGAGTTTTGAAAAGATTTTGTGAAGAGGAATAATGAAACAGGAATAAAAAATCTTTACATCATTCATAGTTAGTTTGTAAGAGCATTTAAGTCAAAAGAGCAGCACAATGTCCAACCTGAATAAACAAACAAACACAATAAAATGTTAAGGAAGAAAACTAAGCATCACCCGTGTCCTCCCGTAAGGCCTAAGCCAAACTCTTATTTCATCAACATTGAAGCACACCCTGCAAACACACAAAACAAACAAAAAATGTTATGAAAAACATGGGTTGCCTCCCAAGAAGCGCTTCTTTAACGTCACTAGCTTGACGTTTAAGAGAGAACCATCCGTCATGCAAATCAGCCGTGGAGCACTCATCATTAGTGCCTCCACCTTATCCTCCAGGTATGCCGTCAGATGGCGTAGACCCTCGAACTCTCGTGACCACCAAAATGTGATATAATCTTCAAAGAACACATCGTTCGAACAAGGAATTAGCACATATCCTGCATCACTCTCATTAGTATAATCAACAAGTATTTCAGGATCAGGTGCCTCTGGTGTCTCCAACCGCTCATAATGAGCCTTCAAGGTAGAAGCAGCTTGAATAGAGATTGCATACTCCTCTTGATGAGTTTTCTCTTCTTCATCTATGCCCTCAACATGAAAATTACAAAGTTTAGACTCTGTGTCACTCTCTAAGACTGCATCCCAATTTCCTAACTCACGACCCCCACAAATATCATCTAGGCAAACAAGTCTTTGCCTAGCACAACTACGCTCAACATGCTCAAGTAGAGAATCAAAGAAGGCATCATCGGACATTGTTTCCTTCACATCACAAGTTTCATCAACTATTTCAACAGGTGCTTGAGCTTGTGTAGGATCAAAATCTTCACCAAGGCTATCTTTGTGGCACTCCTTAAATGAGAGGTCAACCATAGATGGTAGGGTAGGTTCCTTGTCACAAAGTATCTCATCATCTATGGTTTCTTCATCAACCTCATTGGGCACTTTCATATGGGGCTCTTGAGAATTAAGTTCTACGAGGATAGGCTCTCTCTCAATAGCAATGAGAGGCTCAAAAGAAATAGGGGTGAGAAGAGTTTCAACCATCTCGCCCATGGTTACCGCAACCTCCTCCTCAGATTTAGCACCTTCCTCGTATGTCTCCTGTTGAACTTTGTGGTAATTGTCATAAATGATTTTTTCAAACAATTCCTTGATACTCTCATCATGAGATGCTAGTTCAATCCTTGTCTTTCTTAAGTCTTCCACAAAATCGAGTAAGGACGATTTTAACTCTTCGAGTTCGTGCTGAGGATAAGGTGAAATTCCAGAGTTACCCTCGTAGGAGTACTCGTTGGTGCTGGTGTAATGATTTTCTAGCCTTTCTTGGTAATTTTCATGATAATTAGAATCATCATGATAATTACCTTGATAGGAGAAATCATCACAGCCTTCAAAGTCTTGCCCTTGGTGGAAATAATTATCTTGAAATTGGTAATCTCCATACCCCAAAGGTGGATTTTCGCACCATTGATTGTTATCCTCATAACCTTGTCCATAGTATCCTTCATTTTGATTATTTTGAAAAGATTGTTGTTCATAGTATGGATAGTGATATGGTGGTTGAGAATTAAAGTGTTCACTTGAGTAATCCATGAGGAAATCTCAAGCAAACACGTGAGAACAAAACAAACAAGAAAAAGAAAGTCTCCCTAACTTGAATTTGCCCATGCTAAAATCAAAATCAAGAAATCACCGTGCCATTCCCCGGCAACGGCGCCATTTGATAACCGCTTTCGCGGCGTTGTAGTAAAACGGAGTCTAACCTTTCGGTTTTTCCCCGAGTATCGTGTCTCTCGAGGAATGGCGGAGGAGCTTCTTGATTTCAAGTCCAGTCACAGGTTATCGCAAATTATTGGAAGCTTTCCAAATTACAACTTTTGATTGATTTTCTAAACTACTTTTTGGAAAAGAAAGTAAATTAAATTGTGCAAATACTAATGATGGCTCAAAAATAGACTAAAGGAAAAAATATAATATTAAACTTAAATGGATTGGTGCAAATAAGGGCAATGAATTGAGTAATTAGAAATGGATATATTCTTGGACCTAGTAATTAGGGAAATTAAAACTAAAATTGGATTAATAATTTCTTTCCTCATAGACAAGAATAGAAACTATTTTCATTAATTTATCCTATTTCTAGGTGTCATTAATGTGTTCAAAAATGGTTGGCTTGAATTAAATTCTAACCTCATAGACAAGGTAGAAATAATTCTCCAATATTTTAATTAATAAAAATAGCCGAATTCATTAACTAGTTAAACTCATTATTTAAGCAATTGAATTTATCTCTCATAGACAAGATGTAAATCCCTTTCATTAAATTATCCTATTTCTAGGCCTTATTAATGTGCTTGAATATGGTTGGCTTAAATTATTTTCTAATCTCATAGACAAGTTAGAAATAATTTTCCAAGAATTTAATTAATGAATATGGCTAACAATTATTAATTACTATTTCATCATTTCAAACAACTAGTCCAAATTATTAATTTTAATCCCTAATTTTCGGTCAACAAGTCAATCCATATTCCTTTAGTCAATTCATGCCCAAAACAAATTTAGCTAATAAACATCATTTTTTCATTTAACAATACAATGAATAAATTCAACATTAACAAGGAATTAAGCATGTATAATAGCAAAAATTAAACAAAAATAATATTCTACCAAAATAAACTTGTAGAACTAAAATATCACCTTCTGGAATTTTTCCCGAATTTTATAACCTAAAATCCAATTTTAACAACTAATTGATAATTTTCCCAATATTAACTAGAAAATACAAAAAAACAACTACAAATATTCTAAATTCGTTCTAAATTTTATATTGAATACTAGGAGTGATATTACTGTGAATTTAACTGAAATTAGGACAGAAACTAATTTTTTTTCCTTTTTTGAGTATTTAATTTAATTTATGCAATAATAACCACTAAATGCCGGAATTAATTAAAATTTACTTCTACTTCATAAAAAGTAACTTTGTTTTGATAAATAACTACCTTGGGGCTAGTAAAAAACTATATAATTAATTTGAATGGATTTAATGTCAACAACTATTTTATTCAAATTTAAGACGAAAATGCGAAATAGTTGAATAATTTTCTGGAAATTTTAGAAGCACAGATAAAAAAAACTAAGTACAGATTCAGATTCTACTCATTGAAAGGATGAAAATACATATAAAGAACTCACAATTTGGAGCTAAAATGAGAAAGATATGAAAGATTGAAGTTGAAGGTGCAACAATGGTGGAAATCCGAGCTTTGAGGAGGAAGAAGACGCCCTTTTTGATCTGATTTGGGCTTGAAATTGGTGTGTTTGAGATGGGGAAAAAGCCTGCTATTTATAGCAGAAATTTCACCGAAGGCGCCCAAGACGGCGGCCGCCTTCCGTCGGAATCTGGCCGCCTTCCGTAGGCGGCCAACCAGGCGGCCGCCTTTGGTCTCATTTTGGCCGCCTTCCGTCCCATCGCCGACAGCGGATCGTGGCCGGTCTCGTCAGCCGTAGGCGGCCACAGAGGGCGGCCGCCTTCCGTCACAAATGGCCGCCTGCCGTCTTTTCGTTGGCAGATCGGATCCCGGCGGATCCCGGCGGATCCCGGCCGCCGCAGGCGGTCCAACAGGCGGCCGCCTGCCGTCCTGTCTGGCCGCCTGCCGTCCTGTCTGGCCGACCGGTGGTTGGTTTTGTCCCCTTGTGCCGCAGGCGGCCACCGTAGGCGGCCGCCTTCTGCCCAGTGTCGGCAGCCTTCGGTCTTTTTCTGGTCTCGAGTCAAAGCGAGGTTGACTTCTGATTTTTCCCGTAGGCGGCCGCGAAGGCCTCCATTTTGGGCGCCTATTTGGGCGCCTTCTGCCACTTTTGTCTGGCAGATGCGGCTTTTCCTGCTCTTCATTTTTGTCTTCTGAATCACCTTGATAAAATGCTTGCTTTTTCCGGTATAAATGTATTTGTCACTCAAATTGACTCATTTTGTGCTCAATTGACCCGAAATCCCGCTAAACATATTATGGATGTGATTTTTACCTGATTTCATGAAACTTGAACCAAAATATATAAAATGTGTCTTTTCTTTCTATTTTCATTCAAAAATCGCTTAAATTTGATAAGAAAAATAAGTACAAAAATGGACTTATCAGTGGTCAAGTGCCGTCTTGCTGGGTTTCTTCACTTCTGAGCTTTGTAATAGTTCTTTCTGAGGTTTAGCGCGTGCTCATAGCTCCTGAGTGAATTTCTTTTATCAAGTTGTTTCTGGATAGCCTGTAGAATTCTGTCTATCCTGTGTGCTTCCTTTAATTCGGCATCTGTCGCATCTGCATACTGTTGCTGTCTTTCTTTGAATGCTTCTCTGATCGGTTGCAGCTTTTCCTTCACAATCTTCAGGGTTCCGTCACAGTACTTGTTGATTTCATCAATGAATAGCATACGTTTCTCACCATTATGATTTAGATAGATAAGCGTGATTGGTCTATCAAAAATGTAATACTCAGGGAAGTCCTCAAGTTCTTGTCCATACAGCTTTGGTTTTGTGAGATTTGTCTTCGGCATGTTTGTTTCAAGCGCCATCTGAAGATCATGAGAGGCAAAGAATTTGATTTGTCTGAGCATAAAGCGCTTGAGTGCATCCAGCCCATTTTGTGTAGTTGTGTCACGAGTGCCCGGAATTTCTTGAAATGCAAGATACATCTGATATATGTCATCCATTTTTAGCATATAGAGATCATTTTCCTTACACGTGAATTCTGTTCCGTCAGACCGTTGTAGATGGTAGACAGAGAGTTTGATGTCTTGGGAGTTTGTTTCACCCACGTTGAGAATAGCCCAGACTGGGTCTTTGGCAGTTTGAAGTTCGTGTTGCCAGACTTCTCTCTGTTGTCCCATATAGTGATGACTGAGTAGAAATAGCTGTCCGCCCTTGTTTTGTCCTCGTAGATGGTTAAGACCACATATCTTCAGTTCATCCAGTTCTCTGGCCTTATCCTCTTTTCGCCAGATGTTTTCTCTGATTTCTTCTTGAAAGGGGGCGTTGATGTCGATCTTTTCCCAGGGCTTCTCATTTCTGGGCATTTGAGCCGCTGTTTGTCTAATGATCGACTCAAGCTCCTTGGGTGGTGTCTCGTAGTTTTCTCCCTCCTTGAGTTCGTTTTGATCAAGTAGAATCACGTCAGTAGCACAGTTGACTAAGAGATCTCTGAGGTATGTTCTTCGCTGTGCTTCATCTACATCTGTCCAGAGTTCAGACCATTTGTTATGCACCAGCATTTCCTCAAGTTCATCATGCATTTGATCATTGTAGTAGCTAGAGGAAGCCTGTTGCTGCTGTGGCGACACGTCTGGCGTAGCATCGGGATCCTGGTGAGACTTGCAGGGATCCTCAATTATCTCAACACGATGCTCTTGCGCAGAGACCAGACCTCTATACTTCGTTACATGCGGCCAATCCTCCCTTGGCTGAGAAAGTGAAACATCGGGATCCTCAGGATTGCCCGTTGACATCAGTTTCGAACTAGGTTCTAACTGATGGCCTGAGTAGGAAGATGTACTCATGGTAGCATCATCAGGACTTCCATTCCGTCCTTAGTTAACATCTATAGGAGATGCACCTCGGGATGTTATGTCTAGCTCGACCATGCTAGAGAGAGTGGCTAGGGATTTATGGCTGGCTGAAGTAGTGGGTTGCTCATTGGTAGAAGTGGAGGGTTGATTTGGCTTTGAGGGTTGGCTAGTAGAAGCAACATGCTCAAGTATCCGCGGGCGCTTGTTCTCCCCCTCATGAGAATCCGAATCATCAGGATCCTCATGTGAACGTTTAGCGCCACGGAGACTGTCACGGCATGTGTTCTGTGTATCTAGAGCATGGAGAAGGGCTTTTTGAAGAGGGGTGAGGTTGCCTTCTTCCACGTCTAGTATACGGTCGTAGATCTCAGCTACAAGATCCTCGAAGGGTACAATTGTTAGGTTGGGTTTGGTCGTTGTAGGGGAGAATACTAGTTCTGTATCCTGGGTTCCCCTTGATGTGGATGGTTGTTGGTTTTCTATGGCTAAGGGTTTGGAAACAGGTATGGAAATGGTTGGGGGCTGTGTTGTCTGGGGTTTGGATGGTATATTCTGAACAACTGGGGTACTTCCAGAGTCTTGTGCATTAGCGGTTATTGCTTCATGCACCCATGGCTTAATGGTAGACTCTAGAAAGCTGTTCAGATATACGAGGATGTCTTCGGGGATAATGGCACCAGTTACAGGGGTTGTAACTGTTGTCACAGCATCAGTGAAGATAGCTGATGTGTGGCCTGCGTTCAATGATTGAGGCATTGTTGGCATAGCAGGGCTTCCGACCATCATAGTTTGCACTCCGGTCGTTGCATTCAGGGTGAGTGCACCTGTATGTGTAGTGAATAGTGTAGGTGTCCTAGAAAAATTCAAAAATGTAGGAATGGTGACACCTAGACTCGATGTGATAGAACGAATGGGGGTAGTGGTCCGGGGCTGTTGACCACTAAGTCTCTCAACTGATTCGGAAGGAACCAGTGAGGTCGGTATGAATTCCCCTTGAGTTATTGAAACTCCAGCCTGTTGAGAGGCTGGAGAGTGGATGGGAGATGGCTGTGCATGCGCAGTTGAACCAGATGCTGCGACTTCTACCCGGGAACTGACAAAGTCAGCTCCTGCTCCTAGGGGCGTGGTTCGGTCTATGGTGACAAAGGTGTCGCAGTCATCGTATAGTGCCAGCTCCTCCTCCACTGCACTTTTCTTTCTGAGCCTCTTCTTAGGCTGTGATGATGCAGATTTGTCGCTGTTGTGTTTGGAGTGCTGCTCACTGATGACAATGCCCTTAAGTGGTCGGGACATGTGAGCAGCCTCTTCATTGTCCGATGAGGAGTCGGAGTCTATCGGAATGGCTCTCTTTCCGGCTCTTTTCCTGTTGCTGATCAGGACTCCCTCCATGTCATCATCATCATCATCTGCATCATCATCATCATCATTCCTCTCCTTTCCCTTGGCCATGCTATCGGAGGCCTCACCACCAGCCTTATTAGAAGGGGCCTGGCTTGATGGTTCATCGGCAGTGTCCTCAGCATTGATAGGGTGGCCCTCAGCAGTCTGGGTCCTCTCGGAAGAGTTACCAGACTGATCATCATTAGGCCGGGTTGCCACTGGTTTCTGTGGCGGGGCTCTCTTATTCTTACCCTCACTCGCTCTCGGCTTGGTTCCCGGGGAAGGTCCAGCTGGGTTTTGCTAAACCATAGGAACCGTTCTCTTCAACGACTCTTTGTAGTCAATGACTGCCTTATCCCTTGGGTTTGCTAGGTCAAGCAGGGAGTCCGGAATAGGCAGTGCTTCAGCTTTATTGCTGTCTCTCTGAAAGTACTTGAGCTTGGGCGCAGTGAAATGCTTGTCCTCCTTACGCTTTGGCATTGTCGGGGTGGCTTCCATAATGTCGTGGATGATCAGCGCCAGCCACCGAGCGTAAGGAATTGTGTTGCCCTTATGATTCTCCTTCATTTTGACCTGATCCATCAGCTCTGTCCAGAAGAGCTGGGCCATATCATACTGTTTGTCAAACGCGATCCCATGGAAGATTTGTAGGATCTGCTTGTTGCACTTGTCATGTCCGGCGTGCTTTGGAGATAGGCACTTGTTCACAAGGCCGAACAGACTCTTCCATGGGTGGGGCAGGTTGGAGATAGTGAAATTTGACAGCAAGGGCAGCGGACTGTCATAGCCTAGATCCTTCATCCCCTTTATCAGCTCTTCGTTTGAGGGGAGTGGTGCGTAGTGTTTGAGCACTGGGAGCTTCAGTGTCTCCCTGATTGTTGATGGTGTCAGCACCACTCGCACGTCATTCAGTTTGGTCATTATTTTCGACCTGTCCTTCTCTGAGGCTGTGTGCATCAGGCCCCAGAACTGTTGTAGATACACCTCTGGCACTGGTTTGGCTTCATTAAATGCAGACCAGAGGTAATGCTTCTGTAGGATTGATAATATTACTGGATCCTGGCATTTGAACAGCTTTAGGTCCAGTTGGAAGTTGTTGTCGTACAGTGGGACCCATTTCTCCTTTGGGTACACTGCGTTGCTTGGTTGTGCAGTTCTATCTGTTCCTGACATTGTTAACTGAAAGAATTGGGTCAGCACATTGTTCATTTGAAAATTTTATTTTTGTTCTATTTTGCAATTGTTCAGATCAGGTGTGTTCTGGTGGGGCCTCGAGAAAATTTCTGAGTGTAAATCACGAGAACCAACTTCTCGAGATTTGAATATCGAGAAGTAGGTTCTCGAGGTTTAAATACCGAGAAGCTCTTCTCGATACTCAAACATCGAGATCTTGGTTCTCGATGTGAGAATATCGAAAAGTCCTTCTCGAGATCTAAACTTCGAGAACTTCCTTTCTCGATGTTTAAATATCGAGAACTGCTTCTCGGTATTTCAAACTTCGAGAAGTAGGTTCTCGGTATTTAAACATCGAAAAGACCTTTTCGAGGTTCAAATATCGAGAACTGACTTTCGAGGTTTGAAATATCGAGAAACAATTCCTCGAATTTAAATATCGAGAAAGATGTATTCTCGAGTTCGTACTCAAAATAAATGTCGAGAACCACCTGCAATTACACATTCATAAAAATATCAATAACAAATTTCGATGTTTATTAAGACTCAGTTCTCGATATATCACTTCGAGAAATTCCTTTTGAGTTCGAGAACCGGTGCATTTTGTGCGAGAACCATTTTATTCAAGATTTTCATCAGAATCACTACCTTTAGTGCGAAATGTGTGAAGATTTGAGAAAGTTTTTGAGGAAGGCGGTTGAGAGCTCTGGACTTCGAGAACTTTTTAGAAAAAATATGCGAGAAGAATGGGTTGTCTAGTTCTCGAAGTCTTCTTATATGCGAGAACATCCTGGGCCTTGCGAGAAAGTAATCTGGACCCAAAAGTTTGAGTTGGGCCCGGTTCCGTGTTTAAAATTATTTTGAGCCCCAAACGTTTATTTATGTACAGAAAAAAAAACTCCCCCTCAAATTGTGCATGAGAGAGAAAAAAAATGTACACACATACTCACACTTTTTCTCCTTTTTCTGATTTTTTACACACACACACTCTTTTTCTTATTTTCTGATTTTGACACACACCACACACACTCTTTTTCTGACTTATTTTCTCCCTTTTCTCCCCCTCAACACATGCAACGCACACCACACACGCACACATTTTATTCACACCATGGAGATAACACAATTACATAGGATCGAAGTTCAACATGCCTAACTTAGATACTAGGAACTGGAATCTCTTTTCATCCAATGCCTTAGTAAATATGTCAGCCAGTTGAAGCTCGGTGCTAACAAAGTACAAATCAACATCTCCCTTCTCCACATGGTCCTTGATGAAGTGATAGCGCAGGTCGATGTGCTTGGTACGCGAGTGATGAACGGGGTTGCTGGTTATGGCGATTGCACTCTGGGAGTCACTGTAGATCGGAATGTGATTGAATAGGAAGCCATAGTCTCTGAGTTATGTCCTCATCCATAGGATTTGTGAACAGCAACTGGCAGCCGCAACGTATTCTGCCTCGGCTGTAGAAGTTGACACGCAGTTCTGTTTCTTGGAGGACCAACAGACTAGCTTCTCTCCCAGAAATTGAGCACCACCGGATGTACTCTTTCTGTCTAGCTTGCAACCTGCGAAATCAGCATCTGAGTAACCAACAAGGTCAAAACCCGTGTCCTTGGGATACCAAAGTCCTAAGTTGACTGTTCCTTTCAGGTATCTCAGGATTCTCTTTACTGCATTCAGATGTGATTCCTTTGGATTTGCTTGAAAGCGAGCGCACAGACAAGTTGCAAAGACAATATCCGGTCTACTAGATGTCAGGTACAGCAAGGAACCGATGATAGCCCGATAGTTGGTAGCATCGACTGATATTCCGGAAGGGTCAGAGTCGAGCTTTTGTGAGGGAGACATGGGGGTTTTCATGGTTGACTTGCTGTCCATCTTAAATCTTTTGAGCATTTCATGGATGTACTTCGACTGGCTGATGAAGATTCCGTCTGGCAATTGCTTGATCTGTAGCCCTAGAGAGAAGTTCAACTCTCCCATCATACTCATTTCAAACTCAGTGCGCATCAAGTTACTGAATTCTTCGCAGAAGTTCGGATTGGACGAGGCGAATATGATGTCATCGACATAGATTTGTATCAGCATGATGTCACTGTTCTCTCGCTTGATGAAAAGAGTTGGATCTATCTTTCCCTTCGAGTAGCCTGATTGCACAAGAAAATCAGATAGTGCATCATACCAGGCTCTCGGTGCCTGTTTTAGTCCATACAGAGCTTTCTTCAGCTTGTAGACATAATGTGGGCGTTTAGGATCAACAAAGCCTTCTGGTTGTGTCGCGTAAACTTCTTCTTTTAGTTCTCCATTCAGAAACGCAGTCTTTACATCCATTTGATAGACGGTGAAACTCTTATGAGCAGCATAGGCAAGGAACAACCTGATTGCTTCAATTCTGGCCACTGGTGCAAAGGTTTCATCATAGTCAATTCCTTCTTGTTGATTGTATCCTTTGGCAACCAGCCGGGCTTTGTTCCTTATAATCACACCGTCTTCATCTTTCTTGTTCTTGAAGACCCACTTGGTGCCAATTATTGTTTTCTTTGAGGGTCTTGGCACCAGGGTCCATACATCTAATCTTTCAAACTGATTGATCTCCTCCTGCATTGCTATCACCCAATCTGGATCTGTTAAAGCTTCAGAAACTTTGGTTGGTTCAGATTGGCTGATGAAGCAAGAGAAGAGACATTCATTTGCTGTGGCTGTTCTTGTACAAACTCCACGACTTGGATCTCCAATAATTTGTTCTGCAGGATGTGCCTTCGTCCATTTCCGCTCATGAGTTAGAGGGATTGGAGTGATGATGGTGTGATCCGGGTCCTCAAAAGTAGTAGATGTGGTTTGTTGAGGAGTGGAGTGTACAGGAGTCGATTCAGATTCTGTGTCTGCTTGAGCTGATATTTCTGAAACTTGTGCTGGTGAAATTGCTTGTGTTGCTGCCGTGCCATGATCCTCAGTATTTTCGTGATCTGATGTATGAGGTGAGTCAGCTTCTTCCTCACTGAGGTCAGGCATGAATAGTGGATGAGCAGCTTCTATTGGTAACTGTGGGTTGGCGGTGCGTGCATTTTCATAGAAATGTTCAAAGAGAGAGTCGAGAACTGCACTGTCAGCCGTTGTTTGCTTTGTTGCTTCAGCTCCATCAGGTTGCTTCCTTTGAGCAGAGAGTGTGTGTTCTATCAAGAAATGTTCAGAAGCAAAGTCAGCCATTTCATAGAATGCAACGTTGACACTCTCAATGACTGTTCTGCGATCACGTAGATAGACCCGATACGCCTTTGATTGCGTGGAGTACCCAATGAATACTCCTTCGATGGCTTTCGGATCCATCTTGCTTCTTTCATTTCTGTCATTTAGAACAAAGCACTTGCAGCCAAACACTCTGAAGAATGAGATGTCAGGTGTTCTGTTGAAGAGTATTTCATAGGGGGTCTTGTTGAAGCGCTTGTGAATTGATGTTCTGTTCTGAGTAAAGCACGCTGTGTTGATTGCTTCAGCCCACATGAAATGGGGAAGTTTTGACTGAATGAGCATGGTGCGTGCTGCTTCAACAAGAGTTCTATTCTTTCTTTCAACGACCCCGTTTTGTTGTGGTGTCTTTGCTGCAGAGAATTGCTGTGTGATACCCTGAGTTTCATAGAACTCAGCAAGAGACTGGTTCTTGAAGTCGGTACCATTATCTGTTCTGATGATCTCCACACTCTTTTGTAGAAAATTTTGGATTGTCCTGATGAAGGTTATGATGGTTGCAGCTGTTTCATCTTTTGTCCTCAGAAATTTGGTCCATGTGTACCGAGAGAAGTCATCCACAATGACCAGTGTATATTTGCGTCCATTGATGCTTTGGACTCTCATTGGTCCACACAGATCCATGTGTAGTAGTTGAAGCAGTCGGGAGGAGGATGGAACAGATTTTAACTTGTGAGAGCTCCTTTTCATCTTGCCTAGTCTGCAGGCATCACAATGAGTGTCAGCGGAAGTCTTCAAAGGAGGCAGCCCTTTCACAAGTTTCTTGGAGGATAGATTTGTGAGATATTTGAAGTTAATATGTGAGAGGCGTCTGTGCCATAGACTGTTTTGTTCAGAGGAAGCTTTGGACAGCAGGCAGATGGAAGAAGGTAATTGTACGCTCTTCAGATCAATGGTGTATAGGTTGGAAGTTCTCGTGCAGGTCAATAACACCTTCCCAAACCTGTCCAGCACACAGCATTGTCTGGCTATGAACTTCACTTCCATGCCACTATCGCAGAACTGTCCAATGCTTAGCAGATTATGTTTCAGTCCTTTCACATATGACACAGCCTTGATGATGACACTTGCACAGATGACATCCCCATATCCTAGGATTGGAGAAGCCGCGTTGTTTCCAAATCTCACATTTCCTCCGTAGCATTTGGTGTAGTTGTTCAACAGTTCTTTTATTCCGGTCATGTGGGTTGAGCAGCCTGAATCTAAGTGCCACACATGACCGTCCTGCAAAACAGATTAAGGACTTTTAGGTACCCACCGCAGGATGGGTCCTTCCTTATCAATTGAGAATATCCTTTTGAATTTTTCTTTCAGCTGTGATCCACGGTCAACAGCCTTTTCAGATAATGTTCTTTGTTTTTCAAGTTCAGTTTTTGGTATCCATTTTTGTTTGATTTTAGGAGTGGAGGAGACAGAGTTATTGTCTTTGTGTGTGAATGGCTGGTTCGTGAGGTAAGGTTTGAAAATTTCTTCTTTAGAGAGACGTTGTAAATGTTTCTTCGAATGAACTTTAAGAGGATATCTTAAATTTGGAAGATCATAGACACCCTCTACAGTTCCATTCTCAAACTGTTTTCTTTGTTTGCGCTCTCCTTTTTCTTTCTCACGTACAGCATTTACATCATGATCAGAACCAAAAGTATCATTGCAAGGATTCACAACCCCAGAAGTAAACAACTTTTCATTGATAATGAAAGTATCAGATTTAAACTTAGAATGATTCAGCTTGGGACACAAGACTGAACTGGAACTACATGACTGTGACATAGAACTAGATCTACGCTTATTTGAATAGAAAACAGCATTTGAACACGACTTTTTATTCTCAGAAAACATCTTCTTCTTTCCTTCAGCTATCTCAGCTCTCTTTAACTTCCACTCTCTTCTCCTCTCCACTCTCCGACTTACTTCATTTCCTGTTTTCAAAGGAGAGTTGGAGTGAGTGGGTGTCTTTTTGAAAAGGTTAGTTTTGTTCAGAATTGGTTGAGATGTATCAGTATCGCTAGATGATTGAGAAGTTGTGCCAGATTGGGAACTTTCTTTTAAAATGGTCAGTTCTCTCAACAACCTCTCCCTCTCACTTTCGAATTCTTTTCTCTCTTCTTCAAAACTTTTTCTTTGATTTTCTAAAGAGATGTGTAAGTTTTCAAATTTCCTGATTAGTGGAGGGATGTAGGGTTCTTCTCCACTTGAACCTGAGGTTGAAGGGGGTTCAGGTTCTGACACAACTTCCTTCTCAGAAGGATAGAGATTCACACTCTCATCAGTTGACAAAACAGGTTCAGCGTTTTCATAGCTTTCGTTCAGGGAATCATAACTGAAAGGAATTTCGGCTTTTGAAGGATTTGACCGCTTTACCTCTTCTTCTTCTGCGGTTTCTTTTCCGTAGGTAAAAGCCATCAACTTGGTCAATCCTAACCCCATGTACTTTATGTTGTAAAGTTGGAGACAATCAATCTTTTTCAGATTGTTGGGGTTAGTAAATCCAAGACCTTCCTTTGAGTTATAAAACCGAGTGTCCCTGTTTTGGTTTAAGAAAATTGTTTGTTCAGTTTGTCCTCTTTTGACCAGCAGGTCTTCTAATTCTTTGATTTTTGTGTAAAGAGCACATCTTTGTTTGCGTAGAAAATCATTTTCTGCTTTCGCAACATTTCGTTCGAGTTCTGTGTCACTGACCTTCTTAGTTAGTTCAGTTATTTTTTGTGTAAGCTTCTCTGCTTCTAAATTTTGTTTCTGAACTCTTTCTTTCTCATTTTCTAGTTGCAACTTCAGAGAGTGACTCTTATCTAGAGTGTCAAGTGCAACTTTGTAGTTATGATCTAACCTGCCCTTTAACTCCTTTATGGTGTTATCCTTTTCTTGTGAGGAATGAACTTTGCAAGTACAGGAGCAAGAAGGTTCAGAAGTACTTACAGTGGTGTTTGAGCTTGAACTTTGACCTTTTCCGGGGATCGCAGCATCACCCTTGTCTTTTCCTTCTTCTTCTACAAATGCCATCAGGGCCAGATTCTCTTCTTCTTCATCATCGGAACTCTCCTCCTGCCATGGATCATTCTCAGTAGGAGTTGCAGCACTATCATCATCTTGCTTGGCCATGAACATCTTCTGCTTGTTCCACAGCATCTTTTGCTTGTAATAGTTGAAGTCCCTCTTCTTTGGTAAGCGACAGTCCTTGATAACATGTCCAGCTTTTCCACAGTTAAAGCATTTGAGGGGGTCTTCGGCTGCAACAACTCTACTAGAAGAGTTTTGATCATTGGTTTTTGTTTTGTAGTTGGCTGAGGAGGTTCGGAGCTTGTTTGATGAGCTTCCTTTCTTGGCAAACCTTTTGTTGAACTGATTGGTAAGTAGTGCCATCTTTTTCTGTAGATCGGCCAGCTCGGATTCAACATCCATTTCTTCTTCACTCTCTTCTTCTTCTGACTCTATCTTGACTGCCTTCTTCTTCTTCGGACCCTTAGATGAACTCTTTGATTTAGCTTCAATCATGAGAGCTAAAGGATTAGCAGAGAAGCTTCCTTCCATCTCAGCAGTGTCATTAACAAACTGCTGTAGATGTTCATGGACAGTGCAGAGGTCAAGTTCATCCAAGTCTAGGTGCTGTCGTAGATTCTTAACAGTTCTTCTCCATTCTGGCGGCAGGCTCGACAAGAAACGTATGTTCATTTCCATATTAGATTTGACAACTTTGATCTTTCTCATCTCATTGATCAGTTGTACGAATCTGTTATACGTCTCATGGAGCGCCTCACCAGGTAGGGCTTTAAAAGCATCATAGGCGGTCAAGATGTTCGCTTTCTTTGTCTTCAAACCAAGATCAGTTCCAATCATTAACTTCTTCACCTCATCCCACATTTCCTTTGCTGTCTCCATGCTGTCTATCAGAATGTAGATATCATTGGGGATAGCTTGCAGCAGGTAAGTTTTTGCCATGAGATCAGCTTTGATTCTCAACTTGTCAGCCTCAGTGTATTCGCCTTTTGTCTTCAATCTTTTCACATAGTTGACAGGGGGGTTGTTTACATCTGAGGTATCTACTTCAGTATAGATCTCAGCAGGACCTTGTGTGAGTGATTCAAGCATGGCAGATGAATTGTCTTTCCCTTCCAGAAAGTTCAAGAATCTTGTCTTCCACATCTGATATTCTCCTTTTCTGAGGATGGGTGGTCTGTTGTCATTTCCAAGTGCTAATGCTTCCATCTTTGCTGATTGAGCCTTAACAGATCGGTCGAGTGTTTTGATCAGAAAAAAATTTAAGATGCAGAATGTCGAAAACCTAATTCAAGAAAAATTCGAAAACTAGGGTTCGAGAAGTTCTATCGAGAACCAGTTTTGGATAGTGAATATCGAGAACCTGTTTATCGAGAAGCAGGATTCGAGAAGCTGTATCGAGAACTTCAGTATCGAGAAGCTAAGTTCGAGAACTTAGTTTCGAGAACTGAGTGTCGAGAAGCTGTATCGAGAACCTGCAATTTGAAAAACAGAGTTTTTAGATATTCAGTATCGAAAACTAAGTATCGAGAAAGCAATCTCGAGAACTCAGTTCGAGAACTTGTATCGAGAACGTAGTATCGAAATCCTGCAAATCAAAAGTTCAGATTTAAACAGTTTAAACAACTTTTCTGTGAAGTTTTTGATCTCGAGAGTCTTCCTGTATAGTTTTCGTCCTGAAAAACCTGCTTAAATGTCGAGAACCCTGCTTTTCGAACTCATACTATCGAGAAATCAAAAATACCGAATCTACTGAAATCGAAAAGTAAGATATACCCTTGGTTCGTTTCTGAATGACGAATCCAATGGTATAACTTTTACAGTTTATCGATCAGAAACAAGATTACAGTGATTACAAAGAGATATATCGAAAAGTATGAAAACAGAGAAACTTCGAAAACTTTTCTTCGACGATCACACTCGAGCAGGCTCTGATACCAGTTGTTGGTCCCAGTTCATGCAGACTAACGATCAACTAGATGGATTTCATCGACACACAGAAAGAGAGAAGATCTGATAATGATAAGGCAATATCAAGAACAAGGAAATTCTTCTTTCTGTTGTATCGAGAAGTAAATTTGGCAGCGTAAGGCTAATGTGTATTGATCGATATCGGTACCTGTACACAAGGCGCATATTTATAGGCGCTGTACAGGTTACCGATTTAGGTAAACCTTGGAAGTTGGGCCAAGGCCTTATTCCCTTTACCTTATTTGCTACATAATAGATACTAATCTAATACCATAAATGGTATAACTAGTCTACTTTATTTAAACAAGACATTACAGACAAACTTGACCCACAATAAAAGTTCTAACAGTTCAGCCTATCTGGGTGATCGTAGCAAAGAAATTATTAACATTGAAGAAAATGAATAGGTACTCGTGCACAATTTAGATTACTGATGATGATATTACATTATCACAGCAAACACAATAACATACTTCATGCATATGAAAAAATAATGAATATAGTTTATTGATTTATGAATCTATTTAGTTCATTCAATAATCAACTTTATCTTTGACAATTGTTTTCATTTTATAGAAAAAGTTGCAGTTCTGCTTATTCTATGGGAAGTTCATTCTGAAGTCCAACTGAATTTAGATAGATTTTGTATTGATGGAAGAAGGAAGGCTGCACTTAGTCTGAAAGTCATCGCAGCAGTTGGGGTGTGGTGGAATGTCTTAAAGTCATCGCAGCAGTTGGAGTGTGGTGGAATATGATGTAAAAAATGCTGATAATTTTCGGAAACTATAATTCCCGATGTTTAAACTAAATTATGAACTAGTCCTTAAGTTTTGCTAAGCAGTTTTTTAAATCAGCACAGTTTACCTAGAGCAACTTATTTGAAAAGCTTGAGATAATTCAACAAGCTTTTTCAATTACTTAGTTTTTTCAAATAGGCTACGTGAACTTTCTTTTCTAAGCTACTGGTTTTTTTAAGTAGCACCTAACTAGATTATATACTATAAGTCTAATAATTTGGAAGGTGTAGAGTTTTAATTTATAAGTTAATAGTTAGTTTATGAGCTATCACCAGACTCATAGGTTATGTACTTCATTTGCACATTTTGTTTTCCTTATAAAATAATAGGACCAATAAAATCAAGATAAAGCTTCAGTATACTGTTTATCTCAGTCCCCACGCTCTTGTCATGTAAATCAAAATAACAAAAATTAAGTTTCTCCTCTCAGCCTATATAAAGTTTTAACAGCCTTGCCACGGATTTTGAGGAATCAAAATAATACCTTCAGCTGGGGAGTATAGGCAAACTCAGACAATAAGTGCAATAGACAATTATGTTAATGGATCTTCACACACGAGCTGACACAATTCATCAAACATGGAAGGATACAATCTGCTGCAGTAAGAAAAGATTGCAATTTAAGCCTTTCAGCAAATTGGACGAAGTCTATATCAAGTGTCATTGCTACTTGAGCTTTCTTTGATATGTTATTAACTTATTTATATGCTAAAGCAATAAATGTATATCTACCTTTATTGACAATTAAGTAGCAGCAATCAATATGTGAAACTCCCAGTAAGTGTTAGTTCATACTCAGTATATGTGAACATAACTTTTATGATTAATTAATTTGAGGGTGAAAGAACTTGGACATCTATAAAAAATCCACTAGGGAATTCCATTGCAAGAATAGAAAAGAAGATTGTGAAAGAACTACAGAATATAAAATCAAACTATTTTTTTTGTATAAATATCAACCCACTGATGCCCAATAGTTCCTCGAGGAAAGCAAATCTCAAATTTAAAAATTCAAGTACGGTTCACAATATTTTAAGAGGTGTATACTTGTACTTTGTGAAAACTACAATAGTGTGCTCTAGAAGTTAAAAAATTACAGCAGTGTGCCTTAGAGCTTTGCTTGGGGGAGGGGTACCTTCATTAGTAGTGTGCCTTACAGATTTGCTTAGGGGAGGGGTACCTTCATTAGTAGCTTCTTCACATCTCTTTTGATAGACTATAGAAAATTCAGGCCCTAAGGCCATCTCCAACAATCACCAAATCCTCCACCAAAATAGGGAAATTGCTATTTTTTTGCTCCAACAGTTACACCAAATCCTACCCCATTTCACTAAAATGGTGGAGGGCTTGAGAGTTTACGCCATATTTGGTGCAAAGGTGGGATACGCCATCTTCACTTCTTTTCTTTTTTTCTATTTGCAAAAGTGACCCAAAGTTTTGGTTGTTATAGTTTTGACCCATTTTTAGAACAACAAATTTAAATTGTAAATTTGATATAAAAATAAATAAATCACACAATATTATAAATAAAGTTCAAATCAAATTATTATAATATCATTGTAATATTTAATTTTATATGATTTTAGCTTGTATTTGTGAAATATTGATTATTGTATTTTAATGAGTGAAATGCGTGAAATATTGATTATAGTAGTATTTTAGCTTGTTTTTTGTGAAATAATGAGTGAAATGTCAAAATACATATTAAATGAGGGGCTAATGTATAAATGTATGATAATTAGATAATTAAATATAATAATGGTAAAAGGTTAGTAAAAAGAATAAAAAAGAATATTCATTTTTAGTGATAAAAATGGTGTAAACTGTTGGAGCTGAAGTACTGTATGATGTGATGTTTACACCACTTTAGTGCAAAAAATGGTGTAAACTGTTGAAGATGGCCTAAATCTTCCAAAAGGCTGTCATACTTCGCTATTGCTTCGGTGATGTGTTTTGCCCGGGCGGAGTTATAGTCAATATGAGAGAAACAACAAAAGCTAATATATGGGGTGTCTGACAAACTATTATTTTGAGATGAATCATTAAATTGCTCAAGAAGGGAACAAAGTAACAAAGTTGAAAGCCGAAGAAACATAAAGTTCCACACGAAGAGATTCCAATGCAGCGAACCTGCTTATCATTGTTTGGAGCTGTGGCGAAGAGTGCAACCAGTGAGATGCGGATCTAGCTGCCTGATGGTTTTTTCTGACTTGCTGGCGGTGGTTATATCCATATAATCGACCGTCTCAATAAGTGCCGATGGAGAAATAAGATCGATATCTAGCTGCTTGGTGGTTGTTCCGACTTACTGACGGTGGAAACATCCTGTAATCCATGGTCTCTGGAGGTCGTGATGGAGAAATGAGATCGGATCTAGCTCATTTGGTTCTTCCGCATTTTGGAAAGCTTGCACCGATCAGAATGTGTCTAAATGCCTAAAATGTTGAAGAAGGCGGGACTCAACTAACTGGCGTTAAATAAAAAGGGTAACGTGGGAATTATAAAAAATATAAAGCAATGACGGAAACGGGTGTGTGTATTTAGCAAAAACCGGGCTGTATATAGAATTCCCCATAAATATAGTGTACAATGATATAAATGCTATCTATTTTTTTTAATAATGAAGTTTATTTGTATAGGTGATGTTGAGGTATTTTAGGATTATTGCAGGTGAATTTGTTATCTCATTGAAGTAGATAATATATTACATACTTTAGTAATTTAGTTTAGGTAGCTAGTTGAGCATTTAATATTGAATTGTTTATTTTTTGGGTAAAACCGCGCATCAGCACCTATCTTTAATTCACAATCAATTGAGGTTGAGAAATCCCTAACAAATCATACAAATTGTGTAGAGATAAAGTATAATCATCAATACATATAGAGTGAACACCAAAAGCTAAATTATGGCATAGGTTAGCCAAGAAAGCGGCAGCCCGGTTGCCCTCCCGATATATATGCTCAACTTTGATCATCCAGTCCCTATCCAACATCAAACAAAAACCGGCGACCTCAGAAAAGTGATAGTGATACTTATTTAATTCATTAAGTATCCGTGTAGTTTGATATTCCGTATTTCATATTGTATCAATTTTTTTATCATATTGTATCAATTTATTGGATAATTCATATTGTATGAATTTAGTTTTGCGGCAGTTTTCCACAAAAAAATAGTTTTGTGCCAGTGATTTATTGAGTAATTTACGGTAATTCAAATTAATCGAATTATTTTTTATATTGAAAATATCATTGTATCATGATAATGATGATGTTTATTATCTGGACGTTGAGAAATTATAGGAAGATATGTGCTTTGCTTTATCTAAAAAACTGCTCAGCTTCACTTTAAATTGTAAAAAATTAAGGGCAAAATTTAAAAATCATCAACTCTAATAATAATTGGACTCAATTGCAATTTAGATAGAAATCAATTGCAATTTAGATAGAAATCAATTGCAATTTAGATAGAAATCAATTTCAATTAAAAATTATTTGTACAAGTATAACATATTGATGTTATATTGATATTGTTATTTAACCTTCATCAATTAAGTATAACTCATTGATATTGCAGATACCTTTGCTAATGGATCACCAAATTATTTTTTCAGTATGATACCTATACGTATAATGTTTTCTTTTATCATACCTATACGTATAAATTCAGTGCAGGACCTGGGGGGCTAGTGGGGCAAGTGCCCCAGCTTTGGGCTCGGAATTTCACTAGTAGTACTTAGGATAAAAACCAGTGCCCCCACTTTAGACCCGAAATTTCACTAGCATCACTTGGGGTAAAACTAAGTTTATTGTCTAGTGTGCCCCTGCTCTCACAAATCTCTGGGTCCGCCACTGTGTATAAAATTCTTGGAGGCATCTACCTCATCTCAACCACAAGCAGAGTCGGCGGCTTCGCTATCTGGCTTCAATGCGTACGACGGCGTGAAATTCCGGGTGGCATCTACTTCATCTCTACCTTTGTTCCCCCGCTCATCAAGTTGGTCTTGGTCGGAAAATATATTCCGGCTGAATAGATAGGGAGAATATGTGGAGATGAATGTTTAGATTTAATTTTAGAGACAGAAATGTTAGTACGTTGTACGTGTATTATCTGTTAATCCGATTTAATTTAAATTAAGTGCCACGTGGAATAGCGTGCACGTTAATGAGCATGTCACGGGCTCGATAAAATTTCTGGGAAATATCCCGTTAGGTCCACTTTTCGGGTTAACATTTCACTTATGTCCAGCTAGATATTACTTTTCATATTTAAACTTTCGAATTTTCACTTTTATTTTTATACTAGATTTTCACCCGTGCTTCGCACGGGATGCAGGGAGTGAGCAATAAAAAATTTGAGAACATAAGAAAATGTTGTGACAAATAGAGATCAATGTATATATTGTTTGTAACAAAAGTAAATAAATATAAAAAAATTACAAATTGTTATATACTTCTTTGTAAACCACATTTATAGTCTTCTTGGCCGGTTTTCCATCATCATCACATATAACAAATTTCAACCCAGACGGGGACGTCACTCTTGAGACCGCGACGTAAAGTTGTCCATGGGTGAATACCGGGCGACGTAAGAAAACACCAACCCTCTCCAAAGACTGGCCCTGACTTTTATTAATTGTCATCGCGTAACTAAGCATCAAATGGAACTGTCTACGCTGAAATGTGAACGGCAGCTTGAGGTCAGATGGAGTCAAGCTAAGCTTCGGAATAAGAAATCTTTTCCCTGCATTTGTTCCAGACATCATCTGAGCCTCGAGAATATGTGTTCCAAGTTTAGTGATGATTAGGCGAGTGCCATTACACAATCCGGAGGAATGATCAATATTCCTCATTAGCATCACAGGTGCACCCACTTTGAGCTTCAGCTCATGGCTTGGCACACCAGAGCATTTAATGGTATTGAGAAATTCGGGAGAGTGGATCTCTTGAAGGAGTGCACTGTCTGAGTCAGAAGATGATGCTGAATCTGAGCTTAAGTATGTCTTTACCTCACCTGGAGTCAATCCCAACATGTAATCGTTGATCATGTCACGCTCATCAATTGTTGGCGCAAGAATTGCCCTTGAATTCAAATAAGAAACATCATTACAGTGCATTTCAAAATCGGGATAGGTGATCTTAACAATAGCTTCAATTGGATCATCCGTCATAGGAGCAATAAATTCTTCAGGGATGTCAACCATTGATTCTCCATCATCACAGTCCCCTAAGTCTCCATCTCCAATCTTCAATATCCACTCGGCAAAGTTTTGAATCTCTAATGTGTAAGATGTTCCTCCCACACGCCCGAGTCTCATATTCTTTGTCAACTTCAAGACCCTGCAGTATGTCCACAAAAATGATGAATTCAAAGCCGCTTGCACAATGTCTTGTCTTGTGCCCTTTGGAATGACAGGCAATATTTGCCTGAAGTCCCCGCCAAAGACGACTGTCTTCCCACCAAAGGGCATGGTAGAATCACAATCATGTGAGTAGCGAAGGACATCTCTCATGCTACGATCAAGTGCTTCAAAGCAAAACCTGCAGATCATTTGACAACTGATTGAATCATTTTGAATATGATGTAATTTGTGCATTTATTATTCATCAAACATGTACCTATGTGTCATCGGCGATTCATCCCAAATGATCAACCTTGTACGTTCGAGGAGCCTCGCCAATGGGCTTCCATGTTTTATGTGGCATGTAGAATCTTCTGTTGCATCCAGTGGAATGGCAAATCTGGAGTGTGCGGTCCTTCCTCCTGGTAGAAGCAGTGATGCAATACCGCTGGATGCCACATTGAGTACTATTTGCCCCTTGGACCTGAGCGCCGCAGACAAAGTCCGCCACAAGTATGTTTTTCCAGTACCACCATATCCATACACGAAAAATACACCGCCACTTTTTCTGTGTACAGATTTCAAGATTTCCTCATATATAGCATGTTGCTCATCATTCATATCAGCCATCAAACTTTCATGCTCCTCAATCAAAGCACATTTATCATATTTCATTTCCTCATTAATGAGAACATCTTCCATCGAAGGCATGTATGAGTCAGGAGGCAATGGCATTACAACAAAGTCACGTAATGATCTTCCTCGTAGCTGGAGAATTTTCTCTATCTCCACCAAACAGTATTTCTCTATCTCCCCATCATCCATTTCGTGCTCTACAAAAAATATTAGCCATATTAGGTATGTGATTTACATTAAAAGTTACATATTTAAATCATAAAAAGTCAAATTCCAAGTGAGATACTTTTAATTGACTATATCAAAACCCACATATACCTGGATCGTTCAGTGTCCTTCTCATATTGTACAATATGTCTTCTGAGAAATACTGGCGGCATTTCTCCCATACCAAGTCCGCCTTTGACAGTGCGCCCGCAATAAGTAGAGTGACAAACACTTCACGCAATGAAGGTGCGGTTGACCAAAGACCTGCCTCGGTGATTGCATGAATGTAGTCATTGTCGTCTAAAAGCAATCCCCGAGCATAGCAAGCATCTCTAAACGTGGGATATAATATGCCGTCAACTGTTTTTAACTCCTCAAAACTTCTTGGTCCCTTTACGCAGTTTAATAGGGTGCGTAAGTAGTATTTTTCACCTGCTCCAGTGCGAACAAAAGTAAACACAAATCACAATATAAGCAAACACAAAAACAAAATCACATGGTTACGATAAGTATAGGATAATCTCACTGCACATTCTAAAAATCTCAGCTTCATCAAAGCTATATTCATGAACAATTCATCATTAAATCTCAATTGCTATATTCAGAGGCTTAATAAAATTTAATTTTTTAAAACTGAACCAAACAACATTGAACATCAAAAATACTTTAGTTTTATTAAGAACAGTGTTAAATCGAAATTAATATATCCATGGGTGAATAATGATTATTTTTTACCTGCTCCAGGGCGAACGAAGTAGACACGTCCAACCGCAAAACCTCGTTGTCTTTCCACCCACTGTTTAATGTTTTTCTTCCACACAAATTTGCTAGGGAAGTCCACATATGTCAACTTTCTGGCCTCGGGGTATACTTGATTTGCTCTCATCCATGCAGTAAATTTTGTCTCGTGAATCATATGATTCGATAGGACGTCTCGGACAGATTTATCTGCACTATAATACACATTTTGCTCGCCAGGCAGATGAAAACTAAGATGCTCAACTGGCACATCCCTATAGTGTATGTGGAATCCGAAAATCCTCCAAGCAGCCTCGCAAGCAGAGATGTACCGACAATCATAGTACATATTGATCTCATCGATTTTATGCTGCTTAGAGCTATCTGCCGCCTCAGAGAATGCGATTGTGATTCGATCATCACCTTTATTGATGTATTTGAATAGATACTTCACCGCTCGTGACTGGTTGCACCATTCAACATTAATGTGTGCACCATACTTGAGCAACAAATAACGGTTGTGTGGGACTACGTATCTATTGTCTAGATGACAATCATTCTTCACGATGCGTCTTTCATTGTTTCTCCGCCTGTAGATAGGATATCCACTTTTATCCATTTTAGTGCGTTCGTTGAACTTCTTTGGAAAATGCTTCGTGCATTTACCTTTATCCATACACGGCGAAGACTTATTAAGATGGCCGCAAGGTCCATGGATCATAAACTCTTTGACCGCATTGTAATGAGCAGGGTCTGAACACTCATCTGGAATCTCAGCAGATATGATTTTGTCAATATCTGAGGCACACGTAATTCCTTTCTTCTGAGACAGCCACAAAACTATGTGGGCATGCGGCAAACCACGCTTCTGAAATTCCACTGTATATACAACTGCACATTAAATGGAAGAAGTTTAGAGTCTCATGTTTAGAAATATTAAAAAAAAACATTTATGGATGGTAACCAAGGTATATAACTTGTGTAAATAAATTACGTCGGTATGTAATGTTTTGACATTCACGTACCTGCTTTCACGTCCCCAAACAACTTATTTTGTTTTAGATCTTTAATGAGCAAATCCAACTTGATTTTAAAGATCCTACAAAGGATGTCGGGGCGATCATCTGGATGGAGCCCTCTGTTCTCAACGAAGCGAATAATTTCTGGCCATCTCGGATTGCAAGTGAATGTGATGAAAAGTTGTGGATACCCTGCCCATCGGCATATAGCCATAGCGTCTTGGTAATTTTGCATCATGTAACGCGCACTACCAATGAACGTAGGAGGAAGAACAATAAGCTGGCCCGTCCTAGATGCACTCGTTTCCCCTCGAACAACAGCATCTGCTAAACCGCTGTACAATTCACTCCGAATCTCTTTCTGATGGAATCTTATGTATTGCAATCGATATGACTCGATCATTGTATATCCATCAACTACAAACTGCTGAAACAACCTTCGACATCTCAATAGATATGGGGTTTCACCTTTGCGTTCCTGCAACCTGTATGAAAAAAAATCTTTCATAGTAACAAATTTTCTTCCTCCGTTGATATTGTTATCCTCTATTGCACGTGTCAACAGAACGTCTTCTCTAAAGCCATCTTGGCCGTAAGGAAATAGTAGTGGGTATTGTAAGCCTAAAAAGGAAGGGTTCAATTCAGTGACAAACTGAAATGCACCAGATTTTGTTTGAAGGACAACATCTCTCTCTTTTCTATTCACGTCAAAGTCCCCCTCAATTAAAGCTGCTACTTCAGATACGCTTGGAGTATTATACGTGCGTCCCTCTGAACTCCTTTTCCCAATAAGTCTCATTTTCAATGTCATGGAGTTTGATGCATTAAATCTATCCCTTGCCATCCTAAATGACTGTGCATGAACATTGTACGTGTCGAGCATATGTGTCAACTCCGACACCAATGCATCATGCAATTTTGTACCACCCTCACTCCTGTATTTGTAGGTACAAAGTAGCTATTTTCATAAGAGATTAGCATTAATTATAAGTTTAACCATATAAAGCTTGTCATAATAAATAAATAAATTAAAATTATGGAACCGTCTTATTATTTAAATAAAAAGCTTTCTGAAATTTTGAAATTAAAAACAGTATTTCTAAATGGGTAAAATAATTATTCTAATTATTTAAGTAGATACCATCAGATGAAATTAGCATTATGTACTACCTCCATTTAAATAAATGCAACATGTTCAATTCTACACTATTCACTTGTTCTACTTTTACTACGTTTTATTTATTCATGTATTAATATATATTTTCGAAAAAAAGGTTGTTAAATTTGTCTAATCTTGAATTTTCAAAATCTATTTTTTTAAATTTTTCACTAATAGAAAATTATTATAATAGTCAAAGTTGTGTATCGACAAATGTGACATGTTGACCGTTGCATTTACTTAAGAATGGAGGAAGTATAAGTTTAATCATATAAAGCTTGCCATTATAAAAAAAATTAAAAATTCATGGAACCAACTTATTATTTATTTATAAAATTCTGAAAATTTGAAGTTATCAATAATATAACTAAATGGGTAAAAATATTTAATCAATCTATTTACCTGACAGCTTTAAGTCTATTTGAGGTTTCTTCACTTGGATCACATAAGTACATCTGCAAAAATTTGGGTTGACCACCGTCCCTTGGAAGAAGGCTACCAATTCTATGGTAGTTTTGTCCATTTATTCGAAATATTGGTGGCGTTTTCCCTTGATTGATCTCTTTGTCTTGTTTTCCTCCCATAGAAGTGAATGCAAACATTGCATTATATGAGCGGATGTTTTCGAGAAAATGACGGCTACGCTCATCGGAACCAAATATCAAACTTTTTAAAGGTTCAGGTGGCTCTTTCATTGCAGGCAGCACAACATCTCCTAGATTACAACACAAGGAGAATCTTGGTGGTTTTCCTGCGGGACTTTTCTTTACTCTTTCTTCGTACCAAAACAAAGCACCACAAAATTCACACTCATAAGATGAGTCCCCAAGGTCTGCATAGGCTGAAAAGATTGGAATATACATTACTACACATAAGTCGCAAACCTAGTCATGTGGTTGTTCAAGGATTCAATTGTTTGACTCTTTAGTAATATGTTGTATTGCACATATAGTATAAATATTTTGATGGAAAATATATGTATACACGTTCAAACTTGCATAATACCTTGACTTAAACAACTTGCATATTCAGGATCATCTGTATGTCAAGATCATGGAAAAACGGCATTATCATTATGTGAAAATACACACACACACACACACAAACACACACACACATGGTGTGTGTGCGCGCAAATGCTATTTATTGAGTGTAAGGTTTATATTGGTTTATGCATGTAATGTACAATTAAATTTAATGTTGAATTACGAACCATGGAATACAGGTTGCTCATGTGAGGAGTCACCGATAACATCGTTTTGATCGTCCTTTTGGTTGGCTTCTATACAGTTTGGAATTCACAAAATTATTATGCATTTGATTAAAATCTATCAATGATGTTTTAATTTAATTAGATCTTAGGAAAATAAGTTAAGAAAAAAAAATCTAACCTTCATTAGTAGCATCACCATTAAAATCCTCCGTGAGATTCTTGCTACTTTCTGGGGGTCCATCTTGTGATCGAGTAATGCATGTCCCCATAACCGTGTAATCATCAGTCGGCACTATGATGTTGCCGATTTGCCATTTATTGTGAGCTATTGGTATTATACGTGTAACACTTTCACGTACAATGCTCTCCTTCTGTTGGACTATTGAACAAAACAATATGATTCAATACACGATTCTTATAATAAAAGAACACATGGAGTGAGGTATTGTACATAATTACCGTTGGTGAGTTGAGTGTCTAGATTTTCTCCAACGTTTGTTCCTTCTTGAAGAGGATGGTCATTACTATTCAACGACGGACTTGCAGATTGAAATGCATCTCGTGATCGTTTACCCAATATAGTAGTTGACTTAGTCAACTTCTTCATCTGCTTTATTAATGTAAACATTAATACAAAAGTCTTTAGTTTTTTCATTTTCATATTTAAGAATATAAAACAGAATTTTTATCACAATTAGGAGTAGTGAATTAAAAATAAAAAGTAAAAGACTTAGACATAGATGCACATTAATGTAAGAAAATATGTCGAAAGGTTAGATTTTACACAAATTGATAATTGTTATCATACAAAATAAAAATTGTAAACTGTAATTAAAAATGAAATAATCTTTGTTATATTCTTTTTTCAGTTTGAAAATATAAAGTATATCATTTGTCACTATCAGGCACCACGGGTTTTAAATCAATAAGACAAAGAATCGGAGTTGGAAGTACAAAATCTCTATTTTGAAACAATGACCAACTATTCTAAAATATATTCCTAATGTACTCAGAGTAGTTGTTTCCCGCCCTTCTATGGGTATAAGTCCGGAACTATAAGTATACAATACGTAGTATTATATTCCTAAATTGTAATTGATATTAAATCATTTAAATAATTTCCGATTGTTATCTATATACATTCACTTTTCAGATTTTATGTAAAAAAAAAGTACTATGCATTATTTATCAGTCTACTTATGATTCTAGTTATTTTAAATCCTATATATGCACGTATATCACTATATCAGTCTACTACATCAATTATATCTAATTTATATTTCTAAACTATAATTAAATTTACACTCCGTTTGTGATATATGAATATAAGAACATAACAGATAAGAAATGAGAAGGTCTAACCTCAGATCTGCTATGAAGAACTTTGAAGAAGAGAATGCATATTAGATATCACCAATATCTTGAAGTTATGAAATACTCCGTACGTATACTTTTTGGCTGAGTATAGAATCAGGCTGTTTATAAGTTGAGAATAAGTAAATTTGTGAGTTTTAAATAGATGATTAGTGATAATACATGCATGTATGTAGTTTTCACATGGGTGTAGTCATAGAAGTTGAACTGCAATTCCTATTATGAATAATATATCAAGTACTGTAGGGGAATAAGGGGATAAGGTCTTACTACGTATAAGCCAGGGGTTGGAACAAAAGAAAAATCTTTATTTTCCAAAAGAAAGAAATATCTCGTAGTTAGAAACTTAGTACGGAGTACTATTCAATTTTATGAAATCTCAATTGCTTATCATATATATACATAAATAACAATTTTTTTATACAATAAATAACAATTCTATTATGTACATGAATAACAATTTTATGTATATAAACTCATTGTGATTAGGGAGTAAAATTTATATATTCCCGAGGCTAAGCTAAAAATCATACAGAGTATCCAAAAAGAGTAACAAATTTATATACGGAGTAAAACCGTTGTATGAGAGATTAAAAAAAAATAGTTTTGTAAACCTGAAATTTAGACTTGGGAGTAGTATATGTTCTGCAGCATACCGTAGAAACGGGGAGTCTTTAATTTGAAGTCGGTCATGAAACCGGTAGACCGTGAATTGGAATCATACGTACGTTTGATGCGGATTGATAACTGTATTACTCACCGTCGCTGTACATACTTCTTGTATTACATACTTCCTGCACGTACATATGTCTCACATTATGTATTAAAAAGCTTTGTAACCGGAAAACATTCATAATCTATTCATATATAATTTTTTAAATAAGGCAAACTATAATTCACTTGTGCTTGAGGAATCTGGAATGGCAGGGAAGCGGTGAAGAAGAGGAATTGTCGGCCAGAGGAGAACCGCCGGTAAGAAGCAAGGAGAGCACTTGAGGCTGCCGAAGCAGTTTGAAGTTTGAACCAACTGAGAGAAGCTGTATTTTTTTTTACCGTGCACTGAAGTTCAATTGGCCGTATCTTTGTTGCTTTTAATTATTGTTTGTTGGTGACTCTAAGGACTTCTAATTGACTTAAAATTGCAAAACATCCTGTCAATAGATTAAGTCCAACATTCTAGGTAGAATAGGTAAGCTCTTATCACGTATCTTTATTACGAAATATTATTGAAGCGGCGTGGCTCAAACATTGTTTACTTCTAACGTATAATGTGGCTTTAACATTTGGAGTTCCTTCAATTCTCGTTATAGAATGCAGGGGGATAAGTCTTCTTAGCATGCAGTGCTTTTCTTTTAAAATATTTGTATTCTCTAGGTAAAATCCAAAGTCAATATGGGTGCACTCATGATATACGGAGTATAATATTGTGTATTCTCTAGCTTAGGAGTATTATTATGAATAACAAACACGTACATCCCATTTTTAGAAGTACAAAATGCTTGAAACTCTAATTCTAATTATTGCTTTTTAAGTATTTTCATTAGATAATATCATCTACTCCTAGGTCAGTAAAATAACGTATACAATTGATTTACAACTCTTTTACTAAACATTAATTACTATGTAGTGTTAGAATGTTTTTACTTGGATTGTAATTTGCTGGTCTGGTCTGATCTGGTCTGATCTGGTCTGGTCTGAACTGGTCTGGTTTCTTTGTATTTTTATAACTACCCAAGTCTGGTCTGGTCTGATCTGGTCTGGGACAAATTACAGTCCAAGTAAAAACATCCTTACTCTTTCAATCAAATTTAGTTTTTTTACTTGTATTTCCAATTTTTTTTATTAAAAAAAAAAAACTGAATACCATCGCTAACATATGTTACCCCTAAAAGTTGTGGAAAAATACGGATAAACACAATTAGAAATATGTTATCACTTCAGCACAAAACATCATACATGATACATGAAACGATTGTTCTCTAACTTCAACTTTGGTTTACTTTTATTAGTTCCCTTTGAAAATTCTGAACATTATCATCAACATATTATATCTTTCAGACTATTCCGATTTAAAAGAGCTGAATATTATCATCAACATATTATATCCTAAAGAGTAGTGAATAAATAAGGATGAACACCATTATTGTTATTACTAATATGTAATCATTTAGAAGTACGAATTCTAAAATTTGAAAGTAAAAGAGAATTTATTCAAAAATAATCTGTAGTTCTTTTTATGATTATATGAAAATAACATGTAGCTGAAAAAAAGAGAAACTATTTTTTAGAACAAAGAGATATCTAGCAGCTAGAACAATATGCTAACAATATAATACTTCCAAAGCAAAATGTTTGTTATAAGTAAGGCCAAAGCCTTACTTAAATAACATTATGCTAACCATAGCCACATAATACTTCCAAAGCAAACTATTTATTATTGTGAATAGCAAGACAAACATTCAACTAAATGATTTGATGAAAACGTCTAAATCTAAAACAAAATAATGAAAACATAAATAAGAATTCAGAACATTAAAATGCATAATCCAAAAGTGAAACCAAAAAAACAAAGGTGAATAATGATTTATGGCTTCTCTATCTTGACTGCTTTGAGCTTCTTAGTAGTTGAACCTTGAGTGGATGCACCAACTTCAACACAATCAATCTCGTCTTCAGACGGTCGCTTAGACAATGATTGTGGAGTACTCTTAACGTCCTCAATTTCTTCGGAGATAACTGTCTGCAGTAACATAAAAACAAAATCAATTCAATTTATTCTTGGAATAACTTGAAGTGCAGGATACTTGAATCTTTAATGTATGATAGTATTCTTAGAATGAACTGGCTATGTCATCAGTGTCTTCATTAAAGAAAAAACAACAAAGGCAAGTCTCTTTTTAACATATTGTTCACAAAGTTTCTATTCTTTAAATTGTTTATAAACAATCTTCAAAACAAATCATTCATTGTATTTATATTTTGGTTCTTTTAATGCGTTAATAAATTGTACGCAGTATATACCAACTTCCATAACCCCCGTGAAATAAATCCAGATGTCCCTCGCATTAATAAACGCAGTGTCCCATTTTCATACCAGACACAGCACATAAGACATCTCTTAACAGTTTGTTTTCTATAAAATTTAGAAAGGTTTCATATGTTGTTTTCTTTGGATGCCCATTTTTTGAATTTCCCGGGATTTCTCTTTGCGTAAGTTACTCGCTTTCTTCTCATTTAGTATTTTAGATCTGACTTAAGAGGACTTGAATGTATTCCAAGTAAATAAATGACCAATTGGGATCTGAAATTTTCACTTGGATATTAAAACATACCATATTTGATTCAACTGGAGTTGGAGCATCATCATCCAGCAAATCCAGATCGTAATCAGAATTGTACCCCTCTTCCTGCACACAGTTTATGATTTTAGGTTAAGAGGTTTATTCAATTGTGTAAGAGGATCTACAGATAAGATAAATTAATATCGATCTCTGAGAGGGACGTTACCTCTGACTCCGAGTTTTCATCAAAAGATGATTTGATCTCTCTTATTTTGTCCATATTATCTGATGACCCCCCTAAGTAATACACTTTGCCATGAACAGATGGTGGAGCTTCACGATCTATCTTAAATATAAACTCCTTACCAATCAGCTGTTTTATCTCTTCAGGACAACTTTTAGGACCAAATGTTTCCTGAAGAAGAATTAAAACCATCAAACTAAATGTATAAATGCTCTAAATCAGTAGAGGTGTTAGCTGAATATAATACCGTGTTAAGATGATCAGAGAATTCACATGCATCCTTCCCCAACAATCTCTTACATTCTCGATCCCAAAATACTACTTCGGCGCTACAAAGCTTATGCTCAACCTTTAGTTTCAAGAGATAACACCATATTCCTTCCGAAGAACGCAAGCCGCATTTACAAATCAACTCATTCCCCTCCTTTCCGGTCACCTGTTTATAATTTTTCTAATATGAGTGATATCTATGCACTTTTTTAATTCTTAACTATATGGATCCACATGTTTTAGCAGGCAGGCTATAAAATCCACATACGTAAGAAGTCAAGGATTTGCATTCAGGTCATCACAGTCACTTTAGTAAATACGGGGTATTAAAATACAATTAGAGTCATTGCAAGAATCATCAGTCACTTTATTGATAAAATATGGTGAACATGCATTAAAAATTTGGCATTCTTGTGTGTGATAGTTATCGTAGTAATTTTCTGATCATTATTTCAACTTTGATTGCTAATTTCTCTCAATAACAAATAAAGTTCTTCAACTATTGTAAAGGAGTATAAGACAGGAAAAAAGCAACTCAATAGGTCTGAATTGATTTGGGGCATAAATATGCATAAAATCATGTAATCCTATGTCTAATGTGATAGTGGACTTGTGGTGTTCTGGGAGGAAAGTTCCAACTTCACAGAATGACAGTATTGCTTAGGCATTCAGTTCTTTGATAACAAATGCATTGGATATAGGATTTTTGAATTTGACTAATTGATAATCCAATACCTTAGCTTATGAATCATTGACTCCCAATGTACTTTATATAATATGAAAGTTCTTTCTAAAATGGTGGGCAATGATACAGACACTATTTTTCATTGTTTCCCCAACTGTGTTTTAGCAAATTCTAACCAACATATTGACATTAACAAAGCAAAATTTAAGGGGTAACATTATACCTTCTTATAGCACTTTGGATTGAAGCAACTTAGATAAGACCAATTGTCTATGTTGATGATTGACTTGACTTTAGCATAAAACCAACATCCGCGGATCTGCTGACAGTGTCATATATGTACAGATACATGTGTCACACATTCAAAACATAGGGAGTAATGTCATAGCAGAAAATAAACGTTGCATCAGATTAATCAATTACCATGATAATGAATCTAAATAAATAATATCTTCCAAAGGATAGTGGAAAATTAGCATTACAGCACCTCACATATTTTTCAGAACACTAATACTAAGAACATTGGTGTTAACTATTGTAAAGTTGGATAGGCAGATTTAAAATAATTACCAACACTAATACTTATAATATTGGTGTTTGTTTGATCTTCTTAATTGGTAATAAGCATAAGTTCTACAAAAATATTTCCATACATTGATTACCTCATTAGTTGTAGCTAATTCAGAAAGTTTCTTTGTAGTACCAATCTCAATTCCATCAACATGAGATGATATCCCCGATAGTGTTTCACTGTTGGACCGTGAAGATGGATTTCTCATGGCTGCAAATCTGTAAAAACGAATGTTATGAACGGTGAAAAAGTCGGATTCAATGAAAATGCACAAATGAAAACCTCGCACGAAATTCTTCAATTTCAGGGATATGCTCATCAATTAGCATCTTAGTCGCATAAAATGAACTTGAAATGCCCTTTGTTCCACCACCTAGGAATACAAAAAAAAAAAATGAATTGAAAAAGTAACAAATTTAGTCTGGCATAAAAGTGACAAACAAATATGTAGATAAACAACACATTCTCATTTTCTCTTACCCCATCGTGTGTTAACACGACACAGCTGGAGCAAAACAATCACTGCCTCTGTTCGGGGTGTTTTCAGATAGTTCATGAATGTTTCCGCATGATTCTCCCAAAGAGTGCAATGCATTTTCATATTCCTACTCACATAAGAATTTAAAATTAGTCTTTACACTGTGAAAAAACTCAAAGAAATTTAATGAGACTTTGAAAGAAATATAATGTTACTTAACTCTAAGTCACGAATATAAAAGTTGCACCATTTCTTTTTTTGTTCGCCCTGGGTACTACTGAAAGGCCGCTCTCTTGGATCATATGCACCAATGACATCTTTAAAGATTAAAAAACTGTATTAGTAATGGTGGAGAGAAGAGTTATTTGAGAAAATAAATCAAACGCAAAGAGGAGTGTAGCTTTTGTAATAATATTACCAAACAAATCCGGTGTTTTCTCTTCAGGACTGTTTTGGATTTCAGAAAAGCTTTTAAGCTTATACGGGGTACTTTTAAACTGTTTTGTTTTGTCTCCCACTCGTTGCTTTATCTTTGTATTCTCTGTGAAGTAGAGCCTAAATGCATGAGAGCATGGTCTCCATGGCCCAACATTACTTTGGACAGTGAAAAGATTTATCGCGTAGACACCACCTTCTTCTATTTGATCATCAAATATAGGGACATGTGGCTGTTCGACGGTTGCCTGGATTCTATCACCCTATTTAACAGGAGAGGTATATGTCAATATTATATCAAAATAAAATGTTAACATAGTAACATACTGTTCAGGTTTTAGTTTTTAATAAGTCATAGTACATTAATAACTCTACTCTTGATATGCACTAGTTTGTAGTGCATAAATGTATGTTTTTATATTTATTTTGTGTGGATTGTTTACTGTTTTTAGTTAGTTTGTAAGCATTTGTTTTGTCATGTTTGTAAATGTTTTTAGCTTCCATTTATAGTTGTAAAATAGTGTTTGAGCTTTTTGGCAAGGAAAAAGGAGAAAAGTCAACAGGAATGCTGCCCAGGGAGATCCACCCGACCGGGTAGAAATCATCACCCGGTCGGGTCTGATTTGAAATCAGAACCTCACAAGAAAGAGCTAGACCCGGTCGGGTCAAGTAATTCACCCGGTCGGGTCAGATGTGACCCGGGACATTTTAACGTGCTAAAACACAAGAACGTGGAAGATTATCTGATTTAGACATCCACCCGGTCGGGTGGGCACTTGACCCGGTCGGGTACCCGGCCAAAGGTGTTGAAAAACACCTATAAATAGCCCCATTATCCTTCACAAATAATCACTCCTTCTTCCATACTCTTAAGCTCAGTTTAGAATAGCATTTCCCTATATTTCTTTTAGTATGTTTAGTCTCCAAATGAGGAGCTAAACTTCCATTTCTTGGTATTGCTCTTGAAGCTTGTTGATTATTAAAGTTGTGAGTTATTTTCTTAACCTCTTTCCTTGAATATTAATTCTTTCTTCAAATACTATTTCTATATCAATGTTGGGGAGTGTTGCTAAGATGACAATTAGTTAACATCTTGATATTGGTCTTAGTAATAGCTATTCCTTCCTCTATGTTAATATTGGGGAGTGTTACTAAGATGACAATTAGTCAACATCTTGATATTAACTATAGTAGGATTCATCTTCTTTAATATTCTTCCTTGAGTATTAATTAATCCCTAATCATATTGCATATTAATATTTTGAACATTACTTAAAGGATCAACTAGTTTTGTTTCATATATTAATTATTACTAGAAACGATCAACGAACCGATGGTTAATCGTTGATAGTTTCACAAGTAAGTAACTTCGGTTTATTAATGCACGGTCGTGGTTAATAAACTTAAGAGGGATTAATTTTGTTGGTTAAACCGAGACCGTTGTGTTGAGGTTATCAATCTCAATTGATTTCATCAAGGAATTAAAAGATTAAATGCTACTATCAAGTCGGTATATGGCGTTGTTCTATACTTGACTAATAGTAAGGGTTATTAATGAACGGTCGTTGTTAATAACTATCCTCGATGAATTGGATATACTCCTCGATTGAGTATTCGAGAGGAGATAAGTTATAGATATAACAATGATCGACTAAAATATATCAACAAGTGTAAAGTAGCAATACCAAGTCACTTTTATCTTTGAATTAAATCCCATATAACTCGTTCATCTTCGTGTTTAATTTAATTAAATCACTCCACAATCAAAACCCCCCTTTACTTACTATTTATATAAAAAGAAAGTTATTCCTTTCCCTGTGGATACGAACTCTACTACGCTATACTACGTATAAGTGTTAGTATTGAATTTATTTTGAGTGCACTCACGACAAAGTGCACGTCAAATTTGGCGCCGTTGCCGGGGAAAGGCAATTTATTTTTCTTTTTATTTCATTTTAAAGAAAAAAAAAAAATATAGTTGAAGTATAGAGATTTCTATTTCTTCTGAGCTTTGTTTGAGTATATGGTAAGAACCCGATCCATAAACGAAATCATCTACCAAACAACCCCCCAAACAGAACAAGCCTTCGAAAGGTTTAGGAATTTATTTCCGAATACTTCTTCGGAGGAATCATCAAGTGCTAGTTCTCAATCCAGCGAGACCGAAGAGCCAATCACTATGGCTCTTGAGACGAGAACATTGAGGGAGCTCACAGCTCCGAATCTTAATCAACAACCCCTATGTATCACTTTTCCAACTCTTGATACGGGGGTCACATTTGAGCTAAAATCTGGGCTCATTCATCTCCTTCCATCATTCCATGGTTTACGAGGGGAGGATCCGAACAAACACTTGTCGGAATTCCATATTGTGTGCACAAGCATGTGCCCCAATGGTGTGTCCGAGGAGCAAATCAAACTGAGGGCCTTCCCATTCTCTCTAAAGGATACTGCAAAGGACTGGCTTTTCTATCTTCCTTCGGGAAGTATCACTACATGGCCACAAATGAAGAAGGCCTTTCTTGACAGGTACTACCCCTCTTCTATTTCATCATCACTCAAGAAGCAAATAAGTAACATCGAACAAAAAGATGATGAATCTCTATATGAATATTGGGAGAGATTCAAGAAGCTATGTGCAAGTTGCCCCTATCACGGATACACCGAACAAGACCTCATCCTCTACTTCTATGATGGTCTTGTGGATCAAGATCGTCGCATGGTGAATGCGGCGTGTGGAGGGGGCATTGTCAACAAAACCCCTTCACAAGCGAGGGATCTCATCTCGGAGTTGGCCGAGAACTCCAGACAATATAACGGGCGGTCCTCAACTCGGAGGGTTATGGCAGCAGAATCCAACAACACGTTGGAAAGTCAAGTGAACGGCTTGACAAGTCAAGTGACCGGCTTGACTTCTTTGGTTAAGGATTTCCTTTTAAAATCCAAGACCCAAGAAGTCAAGGTCTGCGGTATCTGTACACAACACGGGCATCCCACGGACTCATGCCCAACTCTTCAAGAAGACACCACAGAGCATGTCAACGCCTTGGGTTTCCAAAGCCACCAACAAAGGAGGTATGACCCGTTCTCAAATTCTTACAATCCCGGATTGAGGGATCATCCAAACTTAAGGTATGAAAACCCTCAACAAGCCAACCCACCTTCTCAATCGAGTATGTCTACGGAAGACATGATTCGAACTCTTGCTACCACCATGGGCACCTTACAACAAAACGTGGTGCAATTTCAACAAGAAACAAAGTCAAGCATTCAAAATTTGGAAACTCAAGTTAGCCAAATTTCGAATGCTGTAAATCGACTTGAAGCAAGAGATTCGGGTAGGCTTCCCTCCCAAACTGAACAGAACCCAAGGCAACAAGTCAATGCCATCATGCTAAGGAGTAGCCCGGAATCACAAGCAAAGGAAAGTGAAAAAGAAGAGATTGACCACAAGGAGGAGGAGCCAACGAAGAGAAAATTTCCTCCACTATCATCATATGAACCAATCCCTCCATTCCCTGAGGCGTTGAAAGATACAAGGAAGCTCGAGAGTGATCGGGACATCTATAAGACCTTCGCCGATTGTGAGGTAAATACCCCACTCTTTAAACTAATCCAAAGTGTTCCCCGTTATGCAAAGTTTTTGAAAGAACTATGTGTAATAAAAAGGAAAGATAAATTAAAAGGGAAACCAAAGGTTGAAGTTAGTGAGCATGTCTCGGCCGTCTTTCAGAAAAAATTTCCAAAAAAATGTGACGACCCGGGCATGTTCACTATTCCTTGCACGATAGGAAACACCACATTTCCTAAGGCCTTACTAGATTTGGGGGCATCTATAAACGTCATTCCTTATTCCGTTTATAAAACCCTACAACTTGGCCCACTACATCAAACCGGTGTAGTGATTCAACTAGCAGATCGTTCTAGTACCTACCCGAAGGGTGTATTAGAGGATGTGCTAGTAGAAGTAGAGAATATGGTTTTTCCCGTCGACTTCTACGTCCTCGAAATGGGGAATGATGACCAAACAGCGCCCATCCTTTTGGGAAGACCCTTCTTAAAAACCGCAAAAACAAAAATCGACGTGTCTAGTGGTTCATTAACTTTAGAGTTCAATGACCAAAAAGTAGAGTTTAATATCTTTGACTCTACGTCAAAACAAATTAAAGATCAATCTCTTTGCTCTTTAAATGTTTTTGAACCACCAACGCCAAATGCTTTAACTGAGTCGGGAACAAAGAAGAAACGTCGGCCTTACTGGAAAAGGCCGAAAACTAAAATTGAAACATGGCCAAACAGGGCTTTGAATCAGGAAAAAAGGGATATTCACGATCCCATTTGAAACAGAAAATAAAATAAAAATAACGTCGTGCCGCGACGTTAAATCAAGCGCTTCTTGGGAGGCAACCCAAGTGTGTATTTTGATCATTTTCATTTTTTGTGTGGTAAAATGTTTTCAAAAAAAAAAAACAAAAAAAAAAAAAAAAAAAAAATATATATATATGCTTACACCCGATCGGGTACCTCATTTCACCCGGCCGGGTGTATCTGATTTTTGGCTACTGGATAAGCGAATTAAACGACCCGACCGGGCCCAGCACAAAACCCGGCCGGGTAATCCGGCAAAAAACTCACTGCCTTAGGTGAACAGCTTACACCCGACCGGGTTTGTAACTATACCCGGCCGGGCAGTCGGGCAAAAGCCCGATAAGGGGGCGGGCGGGCAGTTTCTTCCCCAGCTCTTCTTCTCCCCCACGACCAAAACTCCCCCCAAACCTCCATTGTAGAGCTCCAAAGCTTCGAAACCCCACCATTTCTCCACCAAATCCATCAATTAACACCATATTCTTCATCCTCTTTACACACTCCTCCACCCTATACACATAAATCCTTTCCAAAGTCACCCAATCAACCAAACCCACAAAACCCTACCCCAAATCCGAAAATCTCCATTTTTGGGCACTAAAAGTCCGAAATCAAGCCACAAATCCTTAACCAATATCATATTCTTGCTCTCCTCATCACCCTCTTCAACACCATACCCATAGAAACCACCCAGACTACACCCTAGTCCAAAGTCCGAAAATCACTCAACAAAAAAGCCAAAAAAATTAAACTCCATGGCTCCAAGAAAATCAAAGGCATCCTCTTCAAGAAGTAATAGGGCAATCTCACCCGTAAGAGGCTTTGAGAGTGTGGATTTAGACACGGAGGTCCAAAAGCAGCGCTTCATAGAGCAAACAAAACGGAAGGTAAAACAGTCCCGTTTCATTTGCATTACTACCCTATTGACATTCATGCTTGATACCGTTATGCGTGAACTCTTCACAAATAATGGAATGCTTAGGGTATTTGAGATGCAATATGTTACCTATCCACACTTGGTATATGAATTTTTTAGTTCATTTGTGCAAACTACAAATGTTGATGACCATGCCGAAAGTACAATCAAATTTCGTTTGCTAAATGAGGACCGTACATTGACCAAGCGGGAGTTCGCCCAACACTTTGGCCTCCCCTTGTTTAATGAAGAACGTGATTACGACACTTTTGTGGGTGTAGAGTTATGGCAAAGGATGACAGGTCAGGTAGATGTTGATCTTCGTCATCTTAGTGTGAATCGTGTACAACATCCGGTCTTCCGAATTTTCTTGAAATTCTTATCTAACTGTTTTCTCGGAAGACCAAATAACCATCACACCAGGATATGGGATGTTTGTATTCTTTCACAAGCTGTTTTACCAAGCCCGGATCAGGTGGATGTTGCCACCATTCTGTGGACCCATTTCAACAAAGTGGCCACTTCCACAGGGGCAATTGTGATGGGAGGCTTAATCACACATTTAGCCACACTATATGGTTTTGTAGACCCCGGCCCCATTACCACAAAACAACTTATTTGCACAAAATGGCTTGTGGAGAATACCAAAGATGTCAAATTTTCTCATACAACACCCGGAGGAGTTAACTACTACAACTGGTTGATCGACCCACCTGAAGACATTTTTTTCCAACTCCCTCCTCCTAACCTCCCCTTGGACCTTTTGAATCACCAAACCGGTGATGGGCATCATTACTGTCTCCCCGGTAGAATCCCACCCCATTATCAACCACAGGAACCTCACCATGATCAAGCCGCAGTTGAACCTCCACCCCTCATACCCGAACAACCCCAACCACAACCCCAGCCACAACCCAATGCTCACCAATATTCACCATTTGAGCAAGAAATGCTAAATAGCATGAATGCTCTAAATCTTAACTACACTCAACTTCGGGGGGAAGTTGTTTTGTATAGAACTGAGCAAAGGCAACACTATGAGAGGATAGAGGAACAAAGGCAAGCGGATTGGCGGAGATACGAAGAAGATCGGCGGAGAGATCAGGAGGACCAGCGGAGGACTTTTGGCCCTATCTACTCCTATGTAGCACATCAGGGCGACTTTGCCGCTATGACTACTCCTCCACCGGCACCCTCATGGTATAACCCCACTGAATGGGGTTATTTTGGCGGTTCGAGCTCTAGTGGTGGAGGCGGGGACGACGGATACGGTGGTGATCGCATGGATGAGGATGCACACTTTGTGGGCTATCAGGGCTATGGAGGATTCTATGATGGCGGAGATGCGGGCGGGCACTAGGGACTGTGCCATGGACTAGCGGTGGGGGAGATCTGTCCGGTATGCTCACATTCATACTCTTGATTCTTGCTTTTATTAAAAAAAAAAAAAAAAAAAAAAAAAAAAAAAAAAAAAAAAAAAATTAAAACAGCTTGTTAAGTTGAAAACCCACAAAGGGCAGCTTAAGCAAAAAATAAAGCAAAAATAAGAGTGAGTCTGTGAGATTTATTGAAGAAAAATGTGGGAAGCTGGGTTGAAAACCCGAAAGGGCACCTAGGCAAAATGAGAGAATGAGAGAAAGTATTTCTTTTGATTTTGCAGGATCCTAAGGGTGGTTACTAAAGAAAGTTCATTGCATGAGGAAAAAGAAATTGAAGACCCCTTGATGTATTCTTTTTATGTTGGGGATACTTTGTGATTATCTTGGTTCTAAAAACACTTTGTGATGGTTGATGATCTTATCATTTGAGGATTTTTTTTGGATTGCATTTACTCGAGACGAGTAAAGATTCAAGTGTGGGGGTATTTGATATGCACTAGTTTGTAGTGCATAAATGTATGTTTTTATATTTATTTTGTGTGGATTGTTTACTGTTTTTAGTTAGTTTGTAAGCATTTGTTTTGTCATGTTTGTAAATGTTTTTAGCTTCCATTTATAGTTGTAAAATAGTGTTTGAGCTTTTTGGCAAGGAAAAAGGAGAAAAGTCAACAGGAATGCTGCCCAGGGAGATCCACCCGACCGGGTAGAAATCATCACCCGGTCGGGTCTGATTTGAAATCAGAACCTCACAAGAAAGAGCTAGACCCGGTCGGGTCAAGTAATTCACCCGGTCGGGTCAGATGTGACCCGGGACATTTTAACGTGCTAAAACACAAGAACGTGGAAGATTATCTGATTTAGACATCCACCCGGTCGGGTGGGCACTTGACCCGGTCGGGTACCCGGCCAAAGGTGTTGAAAAACACCTATAAATAGCCCCATTATCCTTCACAAATAATCACTCCTTCTTCCATACTCTTAAGCTCAGTTTAGAATAGCATTTCCCTATATTTCTTTTAGTATGTTTAGTCTCCAAATGAGGAGCTAAACTTCCATTTCTTGGTATTGCTCTTGAAGCTTGTTGATTATTAAAGTTGTGAGTTATTTTCTTAACCTCTTTCCTTGAATATTAATTCTTTCTTCAAATACTATTTCTATATCAATGTTGGGGAGTGTTGCTAAGATGACAATTAGTTAACATCTTGATATTGGTCTTAGTAATAGCTATTCCTTCCTCTATGTTAATATTGGGGAGTGTTACTAAGATGACAATTAGTCAACATCTTGATATTAACTATAGTAGGATTCATCTTCTTTAATATTCTTCCTTGAGTATTAATTAATCCCTAATCATATTGCATATTAATATTTTGAACATTACTTAAAGGATCAACTAGTTTTGTTTCATATATTAATTATTACTAGAAACGATCAACGAACCGATGGTTAATCGTTGATAGTTTCACAAGTAAGTAACTTCGGTTTATTAATGCACGGTCGTGGTTAATAAACTTAAGAGGGATTAATTTTGTTGGTTAAACCGAGACCGTTGTGTTGAGGTTATCAATCTCAATTGATTTCATCAAGGAATTAAAAGATTAAATGCTACTATCAAGTCGGTATATGGCGTTGTTCTATACTTGACTAATAGTAAGGGTTATTAATGAACGGTCGTTGTTAATAACTATCCTCGATGAATTGGATATACTCCTCGATTGAGTATTCGAGAGGAGATAAGTTATAGATATAACAATGATCGACTAAAATATATCAACAAGTGTAAAGTAGCAATACCAAGTCACTTTTATCTTTGAATTAAATCCCATATAACTCGTTCATCTTCGTGTTTAATTTAATTAAATCACTCCACAATCAAAACCCCCCTTTACTTACTATTTATATAAAAAGAAAGTTATTCCTTTCCCTGTGGATACGAACTCTACTACGCTATACTACGTATAAGTGTTAGTATTGAATTTATTTTGAGTGCACTCACGACAAAGTGCACGTCAACTCTCCACAAACATCTAGATAAATTTTGATCAGAATAGTAATAAATCTCAATTAACATGTCCAATGGCTTGATAAAAAATCTACAGTAAAGCAGATTTGATATTATGGTTAATCATTTGTTGTTAACCATGAAATCACAAATTCAAGAGGAATCTACTTTTGTTCTTTCTAATACCTAACCAAATATCAAAGAGCTGATTAGCAGGTAGAAGATGGACGAAAAACTTAATGAAAAAAATCAATGAATGCAGATTTAAACAATCACAAAAAAATCCCATTCTTATTATGCTGATTAACAACAGATGATTGTTAAAATTTACCTCATCGTCTTCAAGTAAAAGCTCAACAAACTTGGTGCCATTATCTGTTTCTGAATAAGGCACGACCCACTTCCGTAACACACGCACAATAATTGCTTTCCTCTTATCAACTTTCATGGTGAGTTTAGCCAAGGGAAGCTTTACTGGAGCCATTTTTATTTGCAGAGGAATAGAAAGTAGATCAATAAAATTGTGCGTTTAAGATTAGGGCGAGAGAGCTTTAAATAGCCAACGAAAAAAAGAAACCTAAAGAGTAGAGAATTTCACCGCATAGCAATTAGCAAACAACTCCTATTAGACTCCTAGGAGGAGTCGTTTTTGCAGTCAATTGTAAAAAATTAATTTTAAAATGAGAACAGAAACTAAATAATTAAGACGTAAGAGCAATCGTGATTAAATAATAGAATAAAAAAAATTGAGAAAATAGAATTGATCAAAATAATTAATAATAATATAAAAAATCACTCTACATAAAAATGACAAAGCATTAGGTTTTCCAATTTCAGGGGTTTTGAGATGGAATTGAACGAAAAGGGAATTGAGAAGAACCTGAGATGGGGTGAGTGATGGTGTAGTGACGTCTTATAAGAATAATAAAAAATTAATTTAAAAAATTGCTGGGATCTAGTAAATGTAAACAGGGGAATCGGGCAGATAGTTCCATCTTTGGTTGAATAAATCAAAAAAATAAGTAAAATTGATATAATTAATTGATAAAATCAATAAAATTAATTAAAAAAACAGTACCTGCAACCATGGTGCCTTCGAAGTCGACTCCTGATTCATCTGGCATTTCAGCATCTTAGGATTGGATGGGGAAGAGAGATGAAGGCCTTCTCTGGCTCCCGATTCATCTGCGATTTCAGCATCTTGGATCAGATGAAGCTTCGCGCGATGTTCTATTTGAGAGATGAAGGTGTCTGCGATGAAGGCCTTCGCTGGCTCCCGATTCATCTGCGATTTCAGCATCTTGGATCAGATGAAGCTTCGCGCCATGTTCTATTTGAGAGATGAAGGTGTCTGCGATCTTTGATTTGAGAAGTGAGAATTGAGAGGTTGGAACGATGAAAGAGGGTGAGGGAGAGCGATGAAAGACGACGGTGAAGGAGAGAGGAAATAAAATACTCCGTAAAACATAACGTAAATGAATAGTATAGTATCGAAAATGCGAAAATGAAAAGCCAAAATGTCTTGGGCGGGAAAATGCTCCTCCATAAAGTATTGCAATTATGTAGAGTGATTTCAAAAATGTCTAAACTCAACCGTATCGAACCAAATCCAAACAATCAGGATGTGGCTCTGCGTCCGCCTTTGTCTTCATCGATCTCCTCCGAGCTTAGCTTCGGTCCATCTTCATATCCGATCAATTTCCTAAATCGCCTCTTTTACAGACTCCATTTTAACCGTGCCGCCACCGCTCTATCAATCCATCTTAACGTGTCTTCTCCAATCCCTAATTTGATTGTGGAATGAAGGCTGACTTTGAAGGGTTGCCAACATCAGTTTCCACCATAATTTGTTCACTCATAGCTTCAGATTGGTCGATAATAATGAGTCGTTGGTGTAACGCCCCTCTCAGGGTTAAAGGAACCATTACACTAACTTACTACTTTTAAAAAAATAACTGCAATTAACGGTCGTCTATTTAAGAAAATAACCCTGATAAATTCTCATATATAATTAAAATATAACTCTTGATAAAAACTCAATAAAATATAGTTATCACCAGCAAATGTGATAACCACCTGAATCCAGGAATTTATTCAAACTTCAAATTCTCAAATAAAATACTTAATAATAATCTCTTTATTATAATACTGAAATATTGAAATGAAACAATAACTAGCTAGAAGCCGCCAAGGTCGTTCCCGTTAACTCATTTCGGCACACGTTCCACTCCCTCATCATCTTCCTATGCCTTGGCCTTACCCTTAGTATCTGTACATGCGAAGAAGGAAAACTGATAAGCTTTACGCTTAGTAAGTCACTATGGATCCACAAAAATATCTAGAAGTCTATGCCAATTTATCAATAGATAAATTTAAGCTATAAGCATGCACTGAACAAATAACTAACACATAACTTCTCAATTACATTCTGAGGGAGATCTCAAAAGGAAAAATATTTTCTAAAATAATTTTTCAAAACTGTTGGGGAGATCTCAAAATTTCTTCTCTAAACATCTCTGTAAAACTTTCTGAAAGAGATCTCAAAAAACAACTTTCTGTAAACTTTCTGAAAGAGATCTCAAAAAAATTTCTGTATAACTCTTTGTGGCTAATTTTACTCTGTGGGCCCGTGATATGTACTCAAAGGCGCCAATCCGACAGCTCAGGGGAGCGACCCACTAAACATATCAGACTCTCTGAAACTGATAACTCTGTAACTCTGTGGGAACTTGTTCCCGAGTACATATCACTTAATCTTTCACTTTAAGTATTAGTTCTTTTTATAGTGTCGTTTGGATAAAAACATCATTAAATAAGAAAATAAAAATACTGACAAACTCTTGACTATGCCAGATAATAATCATAACTTAATACATCAAATAAAATAACTCAGCAAATAACTCACAAAGTTCACATAATAGCAAATAGACTAAAATCATCTATTAAAAATCAACAAGACTTCTTTCATTTATTTGGTTGAACAAACATGTACAGGTGGTAGTGAACTTACTTGTGGATGCTGAACTTAATTTACTCAAGTTTGTGGCAACTTGGTAATGTCTTCCGGTAAGCTCTTCTCTCTTAAATCTTTAGTTATAGAATAATTTAAAGTGGGAATTTTCCCAACTGCAGCTGATGTAAAGGAAAATACATCTTCTACTGTTATGTTCTAAACATGAACTAATAGTCTATCTTTATCTTTATCCAAAATAGATTTGATTAACCAATGAAAAACTCTTAATCCTCATACATTAGCCTCCTTATACGTATATCACTTTTAACTGCTGAAACAAAACTCCATTTGTTGAAAGATAACCGCATCAGAAAACAATTCGGAAAGTGGCTAACAATTATAGTAGCTATCTCACTTGGAATACAAAAATTTATCACCATCCGTTTGTAAAAGAGCGAAATCGTAAGAAAACTTTGGATGGAAATAGCAATAGTTGGGGCTGATACTAAAGGGCTTTATATATGTGAAGTAATAAGTAATTTGCTAATTTCTATCACAAACTACTGCTTAAGAATTGAAATTAAACCTCCCCATATCCGAGTGATATAACAGCGGCCTTGCTCGTTAGAATGATTTTCTTTTTTATATTATTAATTGCAAAACAATCCTACAACTTAAATTGATACAGTTCTATTTTTTTATGAAGAAAAAGCCTGCAAAACTAGAAGTTTCATACCAGGAACATCTTAAATCAAAAGATTTATAGGGAGAAACACGGCTGGAGTAAGAGATATAAAGCTTACCTAATGTGAGAAGAGAACAACCGTACGTTAAGGCTGAGTGTTTCGTTTGACGCCTGGAGAAGTGGGGAAAACTTTCGGAGAAGAGAAGAAAATAGTGGACTGCTACGGGAGGAGACGGTTACCCAAGGGTTTACTCGCTATGTCTTTATAGATATGTACCTTCTCTAGGGATTTCAGTCTTAAACATATTTTTTTGGGCTTAATTAACCGAGTTGGGATTCTAATAATTCTCTTTAAAAAATCCAATACATCAAAAATAATTTATTTTTCAAAATATAAGTTTTATAACATTACTTATTTTCTTCGCTTAATATTATTAGAGCTTACCAGACAACATTACCTGTCACAAACAAAACATGTCAGATAATATATCACATTATTCATAGAAGAAACTTATTGAACTTACTAAAATAAATAAATATTTGATTAATGATTAATATAACTAGCTCACAAAATCAGGGTGTTACAGTTGGCTCCATAGCCTTGAATGGATCAACGATTTTGTATCTGTAATAAAGTCGCCTATGGGAGAATGAAATACAATTGTGCTGAAAATTGGGGGTTCTTCTGATGAAAACGGAAGGTACAATTCTTCAACCAACCTGTATTCTCCGCACTCTTAGACCGGTTCTATATCGATGAAGGATGGAGATCGGCAGTCTCTCACCACCTTCCTCATAATTTTGGTTATGATAAAAAAAATCCTGATTCCAAATCTACAATTTGGCATATTTATTGGAGATTCTGTTTGGTGATGAAAATCATGTCACCCTTAGCAATTTCTAGGTCTTTTACCTTTCAGAAATGTTGTTGGAGTTGATCGTATTGTTCTATTATTCTATCCGTTCTTAGGTTTGTTTTTCTTCCTGAGTTGAGCTTATGAATTTGATATGATTGGCATTGTGTAGGTTTGGTTGGCTGATGGAACACCTGTGTAAAGTGATTGTTTTTCTAGCTCTGTTAGATTCAAATTTGAGATTCCTGCTAGCAAAGGTTATGACTTACAATTTAATTGATTGGATTGTGGAAAGTGATAGTTTTTCTTGATTACACGGGAACTTGTACCAAAATATGTGCTTCCTAAAGACTTTTTTCGTGCAATAAAGCTAGTTGATTATAGCTTTGTAAGTTAATATGAGCTTGTTACATTGATTTAATTTATTTCCAGCATCATGTTTGACTAAAAGTTCAAAACAAGATATTTATTTGTCTTGAAAAGTTGAGATTAGCCCTTTGCTCTGCTATTTCTTTCTATTGCAGGCAATGTACACTTTTCAGACCTAACTAGTGTTTTATTTTATTTTATTATTCGTTATGAGTATGCATTCTTTTTTTTTTCAAATGCTTAAGTGGAGACTATGGAATGAGATGATCATCCATCAGCAAAGGGTTTAGACTATGACAACAAATTTAACTATGAATTGAAACACTACATTTGACAGGCAGAAAAAATAAAAAACAGAAATGGGAATGTTAAGGGAAAATACGTTTTAAGTGGGAATCTCAAACAAATAGCAATTGACACTCTTTAGGGTCTGTTTGCAACCCATTAAAAAAAGTGCTTTTAACTTTTTTTAAGAAAAAAACACTTATTTTACCAAACACTACCAACTTTTACTTTCTCGGCTTCCGTGTAGAATCTACTTTTTACTTTTTCTATTACACAAAAAGCACTTATTTTACCAAACACTACCAACTTTTACTACTAATCACTTTTTCCCCAAAAGTGCTTTTATTTAAGCAGAAGTGGTTGCAAACAAAGCCTTAAAGCAGAAACGTCATTAGTCCATAAGCTAACTTTATCATCAATCAATGCCATGTTTTGATGTGTGGATACATTTTGATGTGTATAAATTGTATAGGTGGATTGTTTCCTTATAATACTTGATTTGAGATTTATGTCTATTGCATTCTCAATGCAGGTGCATAATAGAAGTACATGGAGAGAGATGACTAAATGATGGATTGTGTGTCAAGATGCACACGAAGAAGAAGAATGTGAAGATGCGTAATAGATAAATGTAGCATATTGAAATGATAGAAATGATTATACATTTGTTGTGATAGTTTATATTATATTATATTATATTATATTATATTATATTATATTATATTATATTATATTATATTATATTATATTATATTATATTATATTATATTATATTATATTATATTATATTATATATATATATATTGTTTCTTTTTGTTGTACCATTACTACCATATGTGTTGCTTTTTGTTTCACCTTGTTTTTGTTGTCGTATTATGTTTCTTGTTGTTGATTCTGATGTTTGTTTATTTACATTTCCATTTATTTTTGTTACCTCTTTGAAATATAAAACTATATACGTAGTATATGTGTGTGTCTCACATACATTGATAAATTGAACTTTTTAAATGTCAACAAATACAAGAAACATAAAGAAACAATAAAAAACAATATAAAACAAAAAAATCACAGTTATCAACAAAATGAAACAAATGGCAACAAAAAATAACATTCAAATTTTAGTCTAAAAAAATAACAATAAACTTCTATAATAATAATAGTAATAATAATAATTTTTTTCTACAGCTTTTTTACTTTTTTTTTGTTGTTTATTTATGTTTCTTTTTGTTGACTTTCATAAATATAAAATTTGTGTATTTATGTTTCAATTCGTTGACTTTCATTTGAAAAAATATATGATATGAGATGGTTTATCATTATACGCATATATAGTTAGTTTAGTCTAAGTAGGAAAAATGAAAAGAAAATTGAAAAACAACAAAAAGTAACAATATACAATAAATCAGAAATACAATACAACAAAAAGTAACAATATACAACAGAAATGAAATAACATTCAACAAAAAGAAAAAGAGTAAATAAATACATGTACAAGTGTTAAATGAATACATAAGTGAGAGTTACAATTACAATATATACACCATCACTGTATATTGTGTTTCTATAAGAATAGGAATGGCAAAACTTTAGACAACGACATCTTCCTTATCCCATATACTAAATTCTTTAATGCTCCATTTGCAACTTTTCTTTTGCCAAAGTGGTAGTTATTCTATCTCAGAGAAAACACTTCATCTGCAGTAAAATCAATCACCATGACTGGAAAAGTGTACCATGAGATCCTGAAGCAGTAGCAAGATTCATTAGTTAAACTATTAACACTTTTAAAATTCAAATGTAGAAGATGAAGAGTAAAATGATTGTTCAATAGTTCATGTGAATCCCAAAGTACAAATGTTTTATAGTGTTCTCAATTGTAGACACATTTTATGCCCAAAGTACCTTCACCTTGAGAAAACACCACACCCAACACCATATGTAATCCAAGGGTGACCTTGAAGCAAAACAGACCCTAAATTAGCAAAGAAGTTTGCAGCATAACAAGAAATCTCAATTCATTAACTTTTCATTTGGACTGAAACTTAGCAATAAAAATTACAATCCCCTCTAATCAAGTGGAGCACAAGCTAGAGCTCCTCCTACTCTAACAAGTTTTGTGACTTGGCTGCCAGTCCATAACATAGCCAATACTTTATGGGATGTTTTAACACAGTAGCAAAGTAACCAATTTTCCCGAATGCTTGAACAACATATATTTAGTAGTCGATACAATATATATTCCGGCACTCCCATATCTTCTCAGATTCTTCAAAATCAATTTAGAAACCTACTTTTGCTCCTTGCAAGTCTGAGATGCTATGTTGAGAATCATGTGGTTTTCTAGAATTCTTACCAGTCATTTACTAGTGACAAATCCAACCACAAAAGCTGAGAAGGATGAATCTCAAGGAATTTTCCTGAAATCTTATTAGACTATTAACGTATTCATCTTATTCATCAATTAATGAGAGTAGAGACATTTGAGATTAATATTTGATTATAACAAACCACTGCTTCCACGGCATCACTACCCAATTTAACATTTGAAAACCTAATTAAACATTTAGCTAGTGATACATTGGAGTAGAAAACAATAGGTAAAACGAGTTAGAATACACTCAACGACTCAACTAAAGCTGGAAGTAAATTACTTCGTATAACAAAAACAAAACAGAAAGTAAAATAAAGTTTTCTTTCAAAAAAAAGTAAAATAAAGTTAAATCATAAATCAGAATTAAATCTTAACTTGTTAACTATATGAAAATGAATTATAACAAATAGAAAAAATTAAAATTAAAGTACTGAAATCTCAAACACATACCTGCAAATCGGAAACCAGCGAGGTAGGCCGTGATTCAGCGAGCAACATAGCAACCAAGCAAGCAGGGGCGGAGGGCGAAGCCGCGGAGAGCGCAGTCAGTGCAAGGCGGGGGAGGGGCAACCTCACGTGACTCTTTCATAGGTTTGAGACGGCCAGCAATCGATGATCGGTTTGGGTATAAGATGGTTCGCAACGCGTAACTCTGTTACTGAAAGAAAAAACGTTAGCAGTTTATTTTTGAAAAATAACTCAAAAGTGATAAAAGTGATATTATTTTCCCTTTTTAGTCTATTTGTGAAAAATTCCCTTTTTATGAAGTTCTACTCAGGCCCGAGTTTAGGTAGGACTTGCATTGCCTTGGCTGCACATATCCCCGAAAATATCTCTGATTTGTTTCCCTTAAATCCTTTGACCGCCGCTCGAGTTTCATTAGTCACATCGCGATGACGACTATTACTTCGTCGAAGAGATTCCCAACCAAAGCTTATAGGCGGCCGTTGATCTTTTCTGTTCCAGACTCCCCATGCCGGTCGATCTAGATTCCACCAGAAGTTGTTTTCCTTGGGTTTGGTTTTCGTCAACCTCCTAATAAGTGAGCGATGCGTCCGTCTCCAGTGACTTGGTCTCCAGTGAACAGGTGATGACTCGAGGCCAAAACCAGATCGCATATCCTCTGATCAGCAAAGATGTTGTCTTTATAATAATGAAAAGGCTAAAGGGTCAAATAGGCCCTTGAACTAGCTTAAAGTGTTCAATTAGCCTCTTATATAGGAGGTTCCGCCCGGTGATCGCCAATTGTGGAGGTTCCCGGTGGAATTTTTTGATGAATTTTTTTGAGCATCTTCTTCATTAAGTCTAGTTTACCCATATCAAATTTCAACTAATAATTAAATCGGGAAGACAGTTAAATGATTTTCCGAAATGTACTGCGCTGTTTAACTACGCAGTTATATTCAAAAAATCATTTGATTGCCTTCCCGGTTGAATATATAGCTGATATTTGGTATGACTAAACTATACTTAATGAAGAAGATGCTCAAAAAATTTCATCAAAAAATTCCACCGGGAACCTCCCTAATTGACGATGGCCGGTCTGAATCTCCTATATAAGGGGCTAATTGAACACTTTTAGCTAGTTCAAGGGCCTATTTGACCCTTTGGCCTAATGAAAAAACCGTTTGTTTGATAATTTTTTGGGCCGGCGCGTTGCACTCGAGCGGTTCTTATCTACCTAGAGTTTGTTCTATGCTGCATCCACAACAATGCTCGGAGTATAATACGAGGCGGTCGTTATTGCCTGCCAAACTAAAGGCGATTCAGGGTCGACGAAGGTCAATCGATCATTTTGTGCATCTACATGGCGACTATGTCGGGAGAAAAAGAAGAACATGGAGGCCGCAGGTAAGTAGGTTTTGTATTGGGAGTTGATCTCTGGTTTATTTATTTATTTATTTATTACATCAATACGAATAGATCGTCACTGTCCGTTCCTCCGAAAGGGAAGCTGAGGCTCCTTGGCTACAGCTATCAGTAAACATATATACACTCAACCTTACAAACAGACTATTTCATTTTAATAATTTACATGGAATGTGGAAAGGCTGAATTAAAGCAATTTTGAGAGTTGTATGCCCAGTGTGTGGACAGTCAATTGTGTGCGTATTGAGAATAACATCTGGAGTCTGGGATCGCAGTTTGTGACTGCAAGCGGTCTTATTTTAGAAATAAGAAATCTTTAAAATTATTCGTCTATTGGTCTCTCGATATGAATCTAAAGAACTGGGAACCATTTTGGTCGCCGCAGTGGCCTTGGCATACGGTTGGACCAGATGGTGTGTACCCATTCCTGTTTGTCTGATTTTTTATTTAATGTCAACCATATTTGTTGATCCAGAATTGAAAATTGGTATTCTGATGATGAGGAGTCCAATGGGGACATGAGTGACGATGAACTGGAAGACATTCGTGCGATGCTTTCTGAGGATTTGACCGATGAGAATTCGGAGCTTTATCCTGAGCCTGGGTGGGCTCTGAATTCTCCCAGAGCACCAGTGGATCCACAAATACTCATACAACGTGCTTTGGAGCAGAAAACAGAACTTGCTGAACTAGCATTAAAATTCTACAACAGCATTCATGTAAGCTGATCTTACACGATGTGAACATCCACTAAAGACTCATTATTTTGCCCCAGCCAGGCTGTGCCCACCCCTAGTGGGAAGTCAAATCAATGTGTTGTAGCTTCCATCAAGTGCCACTTTTGATCGTGGATAAAACTTCACGATAGACATAGTCAGCGGCGTATCCAAGGTGGGGGGGTATGGGGGCAGCTGCACCCTCTCATCCCCCACCCAACCCCTATATTTATACACATATATTTAATTGTTATATCTAGAGTTTTTATATAACAATTTCGAGTATTGTAACTTTGTAAGTAGAAGTGGAAGTGCGCATGATAGAATGGGAAAAAAGGTCCAGGTATTCCGTATTGATAATGCTTTGCAAAGGTCAAGTGTTCAAAACATGATTTCAGTTTTGTGGTTGTCTTTTTTCCTTTTGAAGTCTTTGACAAATTCAAACCGACTTTACACAATACTATTTAATTTTTGTCTTGTTGGAAAGGTTTAAACTACATCAATATAATTACATTTCTAGCTTCACATATGATTCATAAAGTTTAACAATTATTACCTCCGTCCCAAAAAACTTTGCCATTTCCAAAAATTTGAACCTTAATTTTGATTAGTATAATATTATGTAAGTTATAAATTTTATACTTTTATGAAAGTACTTTTAACAAAGAACATTTTCATATAACTTTTATATTATAAATAATTTTCGATAAAAAGATATAGTCGGTCAAAGTTTTGAAAATGGCAAAGTTTTTTGGGACAGAGGTAGTACATTTTTGTAAGCAATATAAACTGATATTTTAATAAACTTGTGAATTCTTAATATAACTTGATTCTATGTACTTGCTTGATCCTTCCCTTAGTTGATTCATTTATTTATAAATATAATTTTGAACAAATTACAAACTCCATGTGATAAGTTTATTTATAATTGACTTTATAATTGATATCTCACACATGTAATAAATCTGTAACGTGTGTGAGATAATGTCTAAGGTCAGCCCCCCGATGATTTTTTCTGGATACGCCACCTGACATTGTGATAACATTTGGTATACCTGGAAGGAAGTGGCTAGAAATGTGAACATTTCAGAATTTAGGATATTTGTTTGATGAAAAGTAGCTAATAAGATTGTATTGCTCTTCGCATCAACTTCTTGTGATGCAATTTAGCTCATTATCTGACCAATTATATAATGCGGTAAAGTCTTTTCCATCCACAGAACACCTCTTACGAGCTGGTTGAGGCACTGAAATGCTTGGTAGTTTTTCCGGAGGAGCACTACCATCTCAACTTCACTGCCAAGCTTCCAGAAGGACCGGACACCTCTCCCAAACTCTTCTTTGCTGAACTGCAAGAGGATGAAGACTTCTACAGCTATGAAGATGAAGCAAATAGACTCACTGCATGTGTCATCATGGAACAAGGTGATATGATTATTACTTTTCACTGGCCATGCCACCAATCAATCCCTAGCTAGCTGCTTGGGTGTTTCTTTATTTTGCTTGCATGTTCTGACCACTTGTGTTGTGTCTGTCATAGGCGAGGGAAAAAGGTCTTGTGCTAGTTGTTCAGAAGTTGATGGACTCCTTCACCCTCTCGATGGTTTCTGTTATGGCGTATACCAATCCGTTCCGTAGGCCTCTCAGTCCCTGCTGAGTGACTCGCTAGTAGTACACTGTGCATCCCAGTTTATATGTGGTGTATTATTTATCATCCCTGTCCTATCCAGGCTCCATCTCCCTCTTTAAATTCAAATATATCGTGGGGTTTAAAACAATTATCCCTGTTTGTGTGATTTTTATTTAATGTCAACCATATTTGTTGATCCAGAATGAGAATTTTGTATTCTGATGATGAGGAGGAGTCCAATTGGGAAATGAGTGATGGTGAACTGGAAAGGATTCGTGCGATGCTTTCTGCGGATTTGACCTATGAGAAATCGGAGCTTTATCCTGGGCCTGGGTGGTCGCTGAATTGTCCCAGAGCACCAGTGGATCCACAAATACTCATAGAACGTGCTTTGGAGCAGAAAACAGAACTTACTGAACTAGCATTAAAATTCTACAACATCATTCATGTAAGCTGATCTTACACGATGTGAACATCCACTAAAGTCTCATTATTGTGCCCCAGCCAGGCTGTGCCCATCCCTAGTGGGAAGGCAAATCAATGTTGTTGTAGCTTCCATCAAGTGCCACTTTTGATCGTGGATAAAACCTCACGATAGACATAGTCAGCGGCATATCCAAGGTGGGGGGCAGGGGGCAGCTGCACCCTCTCAACCCCCACCCATCCCCTATATATATACACATATATTTAAGTGTTATATATAGAGTTTTTATATAACAATTACGAATAGTGTAACTTTGTAAGTAGAAGTGGAAGTGCGCTTGGTAGAACGGAAAAAAGGGTCCAGGTATTCCATATTGATAATGCTTTGCAAAGGTCAAGTGTTCAAAACTTGATTTCAGTTTTGTGGTTGTCTTTTTCACTTTTTGCCTTTGCCTTTTGAGTTCTGGGACAAATTCAAACTGACTTTACACAATTCTCTTTAATTTTTGTCTTGTCGGAAAGCTTTAAACTAGTTTCACATATGATGCATAAAGTTTAACAATTACATTTTTGTACGCAATATAAAGTGATTTTTTAATATACTCGTGAATTCTTAATATAACTTAGTTCTATGTACTTGCTTGATCCTTCCCTTAGTTGATTCATTTATTTATAAATATAATTTTGAACAAATTACAAACTCCATGTGATAAGTTTATTTATAATTGACTTTATAATTGATATCTCACACATGTAATAAATCTGTAACGTGTGTGAGATAATGTCTAAGGTCAGCCCCCCCGATGATTTTTTCTGGATACGCCACCTGACATTGTGATAACATTTGGTATACCTGGAAGGAAGTGGCTAGAAATGTGAACATTTCAGAATTTAGGATATTTGTTTGATGAAAAGTAGCTAATAAGATTGTATTGCTCTTCGCATCAACTTCTTGTGATGCAATTTAGCTCATTATCTGACCAATTATATAATGCGGTAAAGTCTTTTCCATCCACAGAACACCTCTTACGAGCTGGTTGAGGCACTGAAATGCTTGGTAGTTTTTCCGGAGGAGCACTACCATCTCAACTTCACAGCCAAGCTTCCAGAAGGACCGGACACCTCTCCCAAACTCTTCTTTGCTGAACTGCAAGAGGATGAAGGCTTCTACAACTATGAAGGTGAAGAAAATAGACTCACTGCATGTGTCATCATGGAACAAGGTGATATGATTATTACTTTTCACTGGCCATGCCACCAATCAATCCCTAGCTAGCTGCTTGGGTGTTTCTTTATTTTGCTTGCATGTTCTGACCACTTGTGTTGTGTCTGTCATAGGCGAGGGAAAAAGGTCTTGTGCTAGTTGTTCAGAAGATGATGGACTCCTTCACCCTCTCGATGGTTTCTGTTATGGCAAACCATCTGTTATGGCAAACACCAATCCGTTCCGTAGGCCTCTCAGCACCCACTGAATGACTCACTAGTAATACACTGTGCATCCCAGTTTAAATGCGGTGTATTATCTATCATCCCCTTTCTATCCAGGCTCCATCTCCCTCTTTGAGTTCAAATATATCGTGGCGTTTAAAAAAAATTATCAATGGTTTGTGTACGGATTGGAATTGAAGTTATGCTCTTATTTAATCTACTTTAAATTACAAGGCTACTCTTAATAATTACGGTCCCTAGTAAGCTCAGTACATTGGAATGAGAAGCCCTACTTTGTGTATCCAAAAAGGAGAAGAATTTGTTCATGTTACAATAGAGAAGCCCTCCTTTGTTGTGAAAGAGTAACACGAGAGGCACCCATCTGTGTATATTTTATTTATATAATATTAACAATGCAAGAAATATTAGGGGGTATTTAATGAATATGTTTAATAATCTGTTGGTTATAATCAGCTGTTTCATCTATATACCTCGAGCTCAACTCGTTAATATACCTGAGTCAAGCTACTTGAGCTTGAGCTCGACAACTCGAACTTGAAAAACTCACTTATTAACTACTCCCTCCGTTCTTTATTATTTGTCCTCTTAGGCTTTGGCACGGGTTTTAAGAGGAAAATAGTAGGGGTAGTGTAAAAGGTGTAATGAGTAGTGGGTAAATGAAAAAGTAGGAAAGAGAAGGGGGTAATGGTAATAAAAGTGGGGGTATAAAGGTATATTTAAAGTAAAAACTTTCCTTAAATGGAAAGGAGGACAAATAAAAAAAAACGTCCCAAAAAGGAAAGAAGGACTTTTATTAAAGAACGGAGGGAGTATAACACATGTTCAGCTAGCAGTCCAGCACAATAACATCATACATCAATATTAAAGCAAAAGTTACTTCAGCACCACAGTTTAAATATAAATACAACGATTCCTTACAAAAATAGCTCAGTAGCCAATTGTGATAACAAAACGCATATTCAAAAAAGAGGGTGGAGTCCAATAACAATTAGTCTTTCATTCGTGAAAATCCAGACTATTCAATGTTCAAACTTCAGGGAGGATGATTTCTTCAAGTTGAGAACTTGAGATGATACACCAAGACCTTGTGATCCCTAACAAATAAAAATAGAAAAGTGATAAAGTTGATCTTAAGTACATTATAATTACATTAATAATTTTTTAATATAATAAAGTATCTAACAAACACAAATAATTTTATGAATTATGTACTTGCACTAGACTTGTTTTTTAGTCCATGCAAACTTCGAATCCAATCACCTGCACAAAGAAGAATTTATACCGTTTCCATAGACAAAGAAGCCCGGGTATCATTAATGATCCTACCACCAACACTAAAAGTAGCTTCTAGCTTCGGAAGCCACAATTGTAAGGGAGAATTCGACCAGAACACCTCGGTATGGTGTTCTGGTGGCTTCGGACAGAAACCATCCTGTGGGTGTTCTGTTGCCTTCGGACAGAACCCCTCCGTAGGGGTCTTCTGTTGGCTTCGGACAGAACCCCTCGTAGGGGTGTTCTGTTGGAGGTTTTCTGTCGCGCTTCTGAACCGTTACAACAATAAATGCCCAACATTCTTATCTTTTAATGCAGTGTTAAATTGACAGTTCATGGACGATTCAATGCCCAACGAACTGGTCATTGATGTCCAACGTTCAGGCCCATTAATTCACCATTTACACACAACAAATCCTCCTATGTAATGGCTGGCAGGTGGTTTGCACAATCCTCCTATAACAAGACATGTTCTTGCACATTCCTCACGTAGTTTCTTCAGCTAAAAACACATCCAGCCACTTCTGAAAATTCCTGAGTGTGCAGTCCTCCTTGTCTTTGCATCACCCGTGAGTGTCCTTTGTGTTGGCCAACCTATTATTTAGCTAGCTCCTTTCTTCCTTGTTTGAGAAGCCTTCAGAACCTTTGAGAGCGGTGTCTTCCTTCTTCCTCCTTGCTTGAGAGTTCCTTAGTGGTTAGAAGAAGAGAGTAAAGAGAATAGGTGTGCTATAGCCTCCCTTAGTGTGGTGTGTGTGAGTCTTGTGTAGAAAGACCTCAGCCGCAGACGGAAACGTTCCTAACATTAATTTTTTTTTTTTTGCTTATAGACATTATCCAAATTCATTAAGCACTTAATCTCATATACTAACATTGTTGATGGAGTATATGGCCCAGGAACCCCCGGCCCATAGACTCCTACTTCTCCTACACAAGTCCATTGAGCCCAGGGAGCATCTCGGGCCCAAATACAACGGCCCAAGACTCAGAGGAGCCCAGAATACACACTGGGGTGCCTTCGGCCTCCTTGGCCGAAGGCTCCGAATCACACAGGGCAACCAGTTTTGAACATAAGAAGACACTAGGAGAAAACGGCGTAAAAAGTAGCCCTCGGCTATCAGGAGCCTTCGGCACACAAGGTGCCCTCGGCATCAGGGAGGTCTTCGACATTCACGTGCCTTCGGCTGCACAGAGCCCTCGGCCGAAGGGGAAGTCTTCGGCCAGCTACTCAATCATCAAAGATTCCCTTTGGAGACAGCCAACCACCGCATTTAATGCGACGTCACATCCACCAACCGCATTCAATGCGGTGAACATGCCACTACCGGTGCCACCCGATTGATGTGACCCTTCGGCCGTTGGATTACTGACACATGTACTCTCATCGCATTTATTGCTGCTATAAATAGCAGTCCTTACTCTCCTTGTAAACCACGCTGAGTTCATTTAATAAAATCGACTCTCTCTCCTCCTATTTACTCTGGTTTCTCTCTAGTTATTCCCGCAATAACCCCTCGGATAAGCTACCCCCCGGGTACACTATCCATCAATTGTTGTTTTCATATGTTCTGACTTCATATGTGAATTTGGATGTACCTACTACAATAGAATTTTGTGCGGCTAAACGGCTATTTTAGTCTGTTCACCCAGTCGCCTATTCCCTTCTTCACTTGAGGACATCCCCTTCCAGCTTTTGCCTTTCGCCTGCTGCGCGGTGTGATATGCTTCACAATTTTTACAACTATGGATTCTAATCATAAAAGAATGATAGATATCCAAATATATAAATTGTACTTTGATGTATAATAAACCACTTCAAACTTTATATATATAGATACATATTTATTTGTATCATCATTTTTCCAACAAAGAGTAAGCAACCACTAAATGTAAAAAATTACACTGCACACAAGTGAAGACACGGGAATGAAATGTGAAACCAAGAATTTATTGTATAAATAAGTTTTTCATAAAGTTAAGCATAAAATGCAATTTGTTTTCAAATTACACACATTTGTGTGTTACTCCACAATCATTGATACTCCGTAAATCGTATTGAATACATTTCATTTTACATCAAACTTGATTATTGTGTATTTTTTCTAATTTGAGTAAAACTCCGCCCTTTAAATTTCACCAACCGAGCATCACATTGGAGTTTTACTTATTTTTTTAATTAAGAACTACTACAGATTCTACCTGTTGAATGTGTTTCGAAAGTTTGTGCTTAAATGACAGCATTACTTTTCATATACGAACTCAACTAATATTTTCTCACAAATTCATATTTGAGCGTTGTTTAATCTTCTATTATACAACAATAGGGGAAAATCTGCCAAAAAATCCCGCCTAAAAACATCACATCAGCTGTTCGGGTCGGGTCTCCAGTTAGGCAGGCCGGGTCTCAGAGGCTTGCTTAATTTTTTTAATGCTGTCCGATTTGAAATTCAAATCCTTGGCCAGTTGGACAGCTGGTTTGGCCTGTGATACCTTTGCATTTAATGTTTGCCCATTCTCCAATAATGCTTTTTGTGAGGCTCAATAAAAAGATAACCAAAGGTAGGCTGCACAAATCACAATGTTGGATATTTTACAATTCTCTAATTTTAAAACTGGGCCAACTGCATTTGGCATTAAATGGGGTGTACTAGAAAATCTTTTAATGTCATTTCAATATCTCCAAGCATGAATTAAAAAATGAATAATGAAAATCTTCGGATGAGTAACATGATCGAATTTTTTATTAATTTTAAAGTGTACTACAAAATCTTTAGTAAATATTTCATTCTATTGACCAATGGTTAAAAACTAATTTGTTTAAGACACCACAACATTCTACCCCTATAAATACACTCCAAATGGGTTGCAAAACACACCACCAGCAAGCACTTCACAAGCAATTCCTATTACTTTTCTTTCAATGACATGTTCAATTGCCCAAACAGGGATGTGGTCTTTGATAAAAGACATTGACCACACAAAATTCACCTGGGCCTTGAGGGTTAGAGACTTAGAGCTGTGAGAATTTATGAAGTGCCACTACATTCTAAGGGTGGAGAAACACTTGATATGGTGCTTCATGATGCTGAGGTAATATTGTAAGCTTATGTGTTCATAAAAGTGCATGCTCACAAAATGTTATTAGCACAATTCATTTTACTGGGTGATCGTATCCACGCTACCATAAAAAGGCCGCAACTGGGGCAATGAACAGGCCATTGATCAAAGAAAACCAAGCCTATGCACTTATGAACTTTTTGGTCCTGGACAACTACCATACCGTGAAATGTTAAATGATGTTTAGTGTAGTATGCAATGATTGAAATGTAAAGCAATGTTGAAGGTGAATGCATAATGCACATGATCTTTCTGTGAAAAAAAAAAGCTGAAGCATGGTCTCATGCTTAAAAAACTGTATGGGAGTAAACTCTTTCAAAGAACCGATATAGATGACATGAATTTAGCTAATCCGGGGATATTTATTTTTTGGCCACACAGTTCCGAAGGCCACTTTGGTGGCTGGCAGGGTATCTGGCAGTCCTATGGGATGGGCCATAAGAACAAGCAACCTCCATGATCAAGCTGAATGACCTGATTAATAATTTAAAAGTAGGTTTTTAATAGATAACCATGTATGTAGTCATGACCGGTTTATCAAGGCTGACGTGATTAATACTTTGAATGTGCATACATGACTTAATACAAGTGCAGTTTAAAAAAAAGAAGTGAATATGTTTTCCCAGAATGTAACTCAAACTAAACAAATTTCAGACAAGTTATAAAAGTGTTTTCTAAACTCGCATAGTAATTAACAGAAAATGGAAGCAGTTTTTTATTTACAAAATAAAGAAAAAACTGAAACACTCTTTCCAAGCCGAACAGATTTCAGATTTTAGATTTCAACTATTTAAATATTACCCAGTCTGAAAAGATGTATTTAACCAAATGAGCGCACAAGTGAAAAACAATAAACAAATAGTTCTTTTTCACCAAAATCAGATCTGTTAAGCAAAGTCGCGTACAAGTGAAAAACTGTACAGTATAGTATGTATAATATCAGAACGACCAAAGGAAATGACGAACCTGAGATCCTTTCATGATGATCACTTGGATTTCATGAAAAAAAAACGGGCTTTCAAAAGGCATTATGTAACATTAAAAAAACC